ACCAAATTACACTCATTACACAACACATACCTCTGATTGCATATGGCAACAGCAAATTGTCAAAGCCAGAGAAGCCAATCCCTTTCAGCAAAGCTCCCAGTGGTATGTTTCAAAACACACCAATCACTTGGGGTTGTAACAGCCCATCGTGGCTTCCAGTCCCAAATCACACTGTGTTTAGAAACCTACTGCACTTCATAGATTCAGCTTCATGTTAGTAACTTTCCAATGTAGTTAAGAGGAATTGAGCTGTGTGACAAATTATACTAAACAATTAGTAATTATTTTTTCCATGTTAACCGGTACACGTATCACATTAAAATTATGACTAAGAGCAGATATAGTAACTTCTTCCAAACCATGAACAACCATGAATGATGTAAGGACTACCAAAGATGACCTCTTCAATGAAGTCAGATCTTAGAGCCAACACGAAAGAACACAAGAATTTCTGTTTGAATTATGCAACAGAGAAAACAGTAAAAAAAAAAAAAATAATTAAAAAAATCAAACAAACCTGAACAGACATCTCACCTTGCAGAGCAGTCTCCTGCCTGTGACCTACTCCTTCCTAGAGGAAAGTCTACGTCAGTTCTGTGATAGTCCAAAACAGCAGAAAATTCCCAAACAGGCTCTTCTCATCACAGAGCAGCAATTACAGGCTTTTCGTTTGTTTGCTTGTTGTTAATGTTGGTGAAGGTTTATTCAGTGTTACAATGCTTGCACGCCGTGTATGCTTAGCTTTTTTTTTTTTTTCCCCTCACTATTCTCACAACCTTGTGATGCAAGGCTGAGGATTGTTTGTTTAAAAACAAAAGTTCCCCTGTGGCCAAAAACCCCAAAGACAGCCCATTGGTCTTGAGAACAGCTAGGTAATGCTAAGGAGCAAGGAGGAACAAACAGGTGCTTGACAAATGTCAGAGTTATGATGAGGGACCCTGTGCCACATCACACCTCTCTGCTCGTGTGCAGCAGTACAGAGGGGAGGGTTTAACTCTGACACTGGAAGAAAGAAGGAACAGCCCCTGGGAAAACTCAAGAAGCCATGGAAGTGGTTTCAATCTCTTCCTCCCCTACCTCATTCTATCAGTGATGCTCATCAGTTAAGGAAGGAAGGAGCTGCCATTTCATACCTGAGCAATGAAACACTTCCTCATGCCTGGGATGCAGACGAATACCTTCACATGCCACTGGAAGAGCCTTGTGTGAATAGTTCAGTACAAAACACATGGAAGAGCCATCAGCTTTGTGGCAAATCCACCTTCCTGAGGGAGAGGTGGGAGCTAAAAGGATAACAGAGCTGGAAGAAATCCAGCTTATCTTAACACACATTTCTCCATTCTGTAAGGCATTTGGGGTAGGCTTTTCAGAACAGTAATCTGAATGCTACAAGAAAGACAGCTGTTTACAGTGCAGATCTGCTGGCTGGATCTGAATGCTCAGGCCACCTGTATCACCCTAACAATGGCGCTCCTACAAGAAATGAATTGCCCCTTCCCCTCTCACTTACCACTACACACCTGGTGCATGCTGCAAATGAAAAATAAACCCTTCACAGTTCAGAGAGTGCTTATGCCTAGGTGCATACGATGCTTTATTTCAGCATATTTGTCTCGGTTACACTTAACATCCAAGTAGCATCTCTTCGGGCAGACAGCTTTCAAGTGCTTCCCAGCTACTTGCACAGAAGTTCCAAGAGGACAGCATCGAGTGCACGATCACCTCTTGTTGAGCAGGAAGGTGAGAACAAGACATGCCTATAAGGCTCCTTCAGAGTTACAGCATGTGTTTCAGGCTGAACAGTCAATCAAAAGGAAAGAGGCAGAAGTGAGAGGAGGAAGAGCCTTTAAACACATCTGGGATCAGAAGCAGAGCAGCTCACCTTGCATTCAGGAGCACATCAGGACTGCAGCATTGCACTCATAGGGCAGCATTTTCCACAGCACTAGATCCACATCCTGCCCCAAAAGATTCTATCAGTTGGGCTCTTCCTCCTCCCAACCACAGCTGAGCTGTGCTACAATCAAAGCAAGATTCCTACTCCTTTGGCACAGAGCTTTTCCCACTGAGTTTGATGTGCCTTTTCCCCTGAGAAATGCTGCTAAGGGAAATACTTCAGGAAAATGGCAATAAAGCAAACCACAGCCCTAGGCAGACAGATGGCATTCCACAAACAGAACATGATACAGCAGAGACACTGTGGTGGGAAAAGCATGCAACAGAAAAGGGAAAAGGCACAGAAATAGTATTACATTTGGTCACTGTGATATTAGTACAGCGAAGTTAAGAACTGAGGCAATTCTAGATGAAAATTCTTCCCCAGCAACCTGTTCAGCTCTTCGCAAAATAAGATGTAGCAGCTGACTAAAAGGGGACAACAGAATGAGAAAATGGCTTGGAGTAATATCCAGGGAACTGTATTTAACAGTTCTGCAGTAACTGCTGAGTGAAGATATCAACGCTATCATGAAATAATAAGAGAAATACACAGCAAGCCCAACTTTCCATAAAGCACACTGACATCTATTTCACCATTTCAACCACACTCCATTAATTCAATATTCTGTTTCTGCCAGCAGTAAATACCTCACTCCCTTAGAGGAAAGGGACATTCCTTGCCATTAACCCACAAAACAAGCACACAGCGCACAGAGTGAAAAGATGCTCAGACTGGAACCTCAAAGAACAAAACTGCAATATGCACATCCATTTTAGGAACACTTCTTTTCCCCACTGTAGATCACAAAACTTCCCTCATCTCCTTAAAAGTGTTCCCAGTCTTTGTCTATCTAGCACTACTTAATTCCCCAAACCAAATCAATGAGTAGAATAGCCTTGACATGAACTCCTTCTAATTCCTTGATCAATATCTCAGAATCCCACCTCTTCTATGATACATAATACAAAGAATTCATCTGTTTACATTTTTCGCATATTTTGAACTGGATCTGATCTAGAAGTTCCTTTACTGCCATGTTTGGTCTTCCTGAATTTGCTGGTCTGCAAGCAGCCAGGCTACTGCTACTTTTGCCAAAACTTGTGATACCATTCTGTATTTCGTCTGAAGATTAAACACGTTTTTAATATGCTATTGTCAGTTTTCACAGTATCAATACTTCGATCTTCCAGAAGCACACACACAACAGTATACGTTTTTCACAGTCTTTTCAAGTGATAAATGTATTTTTCTCTTCACTCCAGATTACATGAAATTAACACCATTATCTTGCAGTGCAAAAATAAAAGTTGCAACCCAAGTCATTTCACTTCAATGGGGAAAAAAATTTGCTTTTAAGGAATTTTTCTTTTAAAATAAAAATCTGTAGATAATGACACCCCGAAACAATCAACCGTGTTAAATTCACCCCTCGTAACTCAGATACCACTGTGCAATTACAGCTGCTTCTGTTTTCTTGTGACCTGTTGTGTACCTGCTCCAAAGCAGCTTGCCACATAATTGGTGCATACAGACATGGGATAACGTGCACAGTCGTAGCTGAAAAAGGTTACAGAATGTGACACTCGGAGGAATGTAAACACACCAGAGCATTACACTGAGCAGCATGTCCCCAGGTGCACTTGCAGATGTGCACCCTCCATGCTCTCTTCCCTAACCCTCTCATTTGTTTAGTTTTAAGTATAAAAACCACAAAGACGCTGATTTACATAAAATTATCTCACTCCATTTTATTTAAGATTTTCTTCTCCAGTTAGTAAAAGAAAGGTGTGTCTCTCTTTATACATATGTACAAGTTCAGTTATAAAAATAGACAGCACATTCAAAGAGAAAAAAAGGCTTGGCATTTGTCTGATTCCCTCTAACTATCATATATACATGTGAATACAAGGGGAAGGGAGAAATCTTCGATGAGTTAATTAAACACAATCTCTCCCTCAATTATCCCCTGCAAATCTGTTTAAAAATCAATCTAACTAAGCTCAGTTCTGCTATTTTCAGGTGTGCAAATTAGAGGCAGAGCCAACAGGAAGCACTTGCTCCACACTGTAGGACGCCAGGCAAAGGATTCGGGGTTAGAAAAAAAATAAAATAATAATAATAATAAGTCATCTTCCACTGTCATAGCCCAGACCTGCAACTCATAACTTGCTTCTCTCTTGATGGATTGAAAGTGCCCTGGCAGAACAGCCTTTTAATTCAATGTGCCAGACAGAAGAACTGCCCCACACCTACATCTCAGTGCAATGCAGACAATGCTTACAGCAAAGCAAGGACCTACAGAGGGGTTTGTGCATTGAGGAAGGAGAAGGAGCAATAGGAGAATGAGAATACAGATGGGGACTGGCAGCCCTGCTTCTATCAGCCTACGGGAGATGGCTACCAGTACCTGCACATGGCAGGGAACTCAACCAAGCTACATCTGATGATCACAAAGATGAAGGGAAAACACACTGGAAGAACAATCAATGGATGGCTGGGATACGAGACAAATTTTCTCCCCAGGATTTGGCTGGAAAGGGGAATGGCACAGTTCTCTTTCTCAGTGCTGTTTTTCATCACTCCGCTCGCAGAGCTGCTAGCTGCAGAACCATGCTCTGCTATGGCACAGTGAGAGGAACAGCAGCAAACTCTTCCTCGGCACTGCAACTTTCCCTCTTCTTGAGATCTGTACAAGTAGAGCCTGATTACGTTCCTGAGCCTTTACGAGCTCAGCATACCTCAAAAATGAGAAAAATCATTCTAAGTACAGTGAATGCTCACACTGGTAAGAACTCTGAAACACAAACCAAACCACTGGCTTGTGGCTTCTTCCACTGTACAAAGCAGAGGCAGTGCTGCTGCTCCCACTAGACCTGTCAGAGCTCTTACCCTATTCTTGACAAACCGTGCTGACAAGAATCTGCTCCCCAGAAACCCCCTGAGATACCCTCCTTTGCATTTCAAACCTTCAAGAAAACAAAAAAATAAACAAACAAACAAAAAAAAAACAACCAGAGGTCCACACTAGAAGAATACAAATTTTTTTGATCACACCATGTCCTCAGTTAGCCCCTGCACGTACACCAACCAGCTCCCAGTACAGAAATGTCTTCTGACTCTGGCGTTCAGATACCGATTTCACTGAATAAAACTAAAGCTGAGTTCCACCTCAAGCTACAAGAGAGAAAATACACTGGTGTGACTTCAAGTTACACACAGCTTCGGGATTTTGCATGGAGTACCTGGATGCTTTCTCAGGAATCTCTGTCAGATACACATCATAAAACTACATCTGACACTCTCTCCAGACCCCTTTCCATCCTTCTCGCAGTGTCTGCAAAGATAATTATTTGGGATACACATAATCAAAGTGCTCACATAAACCACCCATTCCTATTGTGCTTTGATTTTCTTTTCACACAGCTGCATGACAGCACAAGGCATTCATTTGCATGCCTTCAGCTTGCAGGGTGGTCTTCTCCAATAGCCAACACAGTTTAGACAAACTTTGGGGGTTCAAAATTACTACCGAGCACCTGAGGTATGGGCACCTTTGCTTTGCTTCCGAATGGCAGTTTCTGATACAAGACTGCTGGTCAGGTTTAAGCTTTTGGGGGTGCCACAAACACTGTTTCCTTTGCTCAAAGGCGAACTCAAAGGAGAAGAGGCGCTTGAAGGTCCAAAATCTGCCAGTCCAGAAGGCCGAATAATTGCTGTTTGTAGAGGGCTACTTGAAGACATGCCTAGCAACAGAAGAGAATCAAATTCCTCGTGAGCACATCATACCAAGTCCATGTCGCACTTCAACAACAACAACAAAAATAAATGGCAACAATACACTAACACTTAGTCCTAAGAGTACAACATATTCATGATTTTTGAGAGTTTGATTAAGAGGGATGGCCTTAACATACACATCTTGCATTTATACCCAGGGTCAACTGGGTTACCTAATGCAAATGCTGAAGCTCCACCACAACCCATTTAGAACATTTTGGAACCTAATGCTGTAAACTGAACATGACAGCAATACAGAAAAGCAACAGATAAACCCACAGAATAAAGAACACTATCTCATTTGTCTGGGTGACAATATTAAAAACAAAATAGAAGTATTTGGTATGAGATAATTCAAATGGCAGATGAAGCTTTTGCAGGACTAGTATTTCAAAGTCCTCTGTGGTGACAACGGCTGTCCTCTCACACTGTCACAGCATTACACTGCACTCTGCCTGGATCTCAGAATATGCTGTACAAGCAACACCAGCAATCCAACGGTTTTATCTATTTTTTGACAGGCCGTAAACAAGCCAACGCCCTAACTCACGTGGTTGGCTGTGCTCAGGTCTGCTGCCCCCTTTTCCCCACGTACCTTTGGAGACACTGTACCCGTACGCTGCATACGCCGCTGCAGAGGCTGCTGCCGCCCCGGCTTTGGCACCTGCCATTGCAGCCGCGCTTCCTGCTATCGATTTCCGGCTTCTGCTCTTCCCGGTGCCCTTAGATCCAGCATTCCCTCCTTTAGGACGACCGCGGTTTCGACTTGACTGGCCCCTGCCAGTGAGAGGTGTATCTTGCACTGAAACTCCTTCATGAAAAAAGTGTAACAGTAACAGAAAAAAGTGAAAACAGTAACCGCTATGGAATGTTGGATGACTCACAAGTGAATATAGCCTTGTAACTATCTCCTATCTACATTAGTGCTGTTCCTGTTAACTGATGCTGTTCATTTACATTAACACAGACATTCAAGTTGTCATCTCATGAAAAGAAATTATATATACTTGAACATTCACTGATTATATTTTATTAACTCAAATTCCTCGTCATTGTTACAAATCCTACCCGCATATAGATGGAGAATTCTGAGTTCTACTTCAGGATGAAGCTTTTTTTTTTTTTACTGAAGGAACATTTCATCTTTCCATTCACTGTTTGTATAGAAACTCATTAAAGAACGATGGCTCTCTTTGTTTCAGAGTAGAAAGTTATGGTAATTAGAAACTTTTACCATACTTTAAAACCATAGCTGCTTCAAACACGCCGTGGAAATAGAGAACTGATTATTAGCCCTATGGCAAATACAAGGAAAGGCTTAGGAATTAAATATTTCTGTGGTTGTCCATCATTTGGTAAGGTGGGCCCACTATAATATCAAAAGAGGGGTAAAACTCCTAGGAGAGTAAAACAGGAAAAAGGAAATTGTAATGAATGACAGAAAATAAACAGATTTCCTAACAAATCAGAAATTATTTCTCAATGATAAGGTAAATTATTTTGTGCAAATCTTGCCAATCATGGACAGACTTTAGTTCAGTTATAGAATATGTGTCACCTAGGCATGCAAAGTAAAGTTTTAGTGCTAGTAGTAAATAAGGCATGAGTACCAACCATTTATGGTGTCTGAAACTGAGCCAGTAATGGAAGCAGGAGAGTTTGTTGCCCTCGACTGAGGTGCTGAAGAAGCTGGATCATCCACAATCACAAGCATATCATTGCTGCTCTCATCAGGAGGGATAGAGCCCATATGTAGCTCACTGCTGATGGATATCTAAACACAAGCAGAAAGAACAAAACTGTTATCTTCTCAGGTTAGGAAAAGGAAGGGAACAACCACAATAAGACACACAATCACAAGTAATTAAATAGCACATGTACTGATTTCTCTCACTTTCTCTAACAGCATGATACATATCCTGCCTACTCACACCCTCTATTTACATGCTGAGCAGCAGTAAAAACCTCCAAGAGTTACTTAATGTCAACTGATGAATGTAAATGTTAAGAAGCAGGAAACTAATAGGTTCAGCAAAGACTTAAGAAAGCTGCTGCACAACTGTTCATTTTTCTGATTGCTTAGAGAGAAAACAAAAGGACTCTTAACCTAATAGTAGTACCAAGAAAAATCTTTATCAGAAAGAGAATTAATACAACATACGAATCTCAATCAACATAGTATAGAACAAAACATATTTGTTGCCAAAAATTGTTTTCAATTCAATTCAAAAAATAGATGAAGGAAAAGAGGATGTGTACCACTGGAAATTTACAGTCTAAATTCAGGATTAAAAATACATTAATTCAGAATCAGAAGCAAGGAAGGAAGTAGAGATGAGATGCAGATGAGACTAGTGAGGAGTACTTACAAAGACCCCGAAATAAGGAGCTAGTCTAGGGATACTGCTTTGCTCAGGAGCAGAAAGACTGCTCTTGCTATGGAAGGTAATGGCATAGAAGGAGGGCAAGCAGTTATAAATACAGACATAACAAAGGAAGGAGAAAGGGAAAGCAGGAAGATAGTGGGAGTGCAGGCAGAAATGGAGAAATTTCAGGGGATGTGAAAGGAAGAGAGTTTTATGATATTAGCTTGCTCCAAGAAAAGATAGAGAGCAAAGTAAAGGGGGCATAATGGTATGTTAATACAGAGGAACTACAGTGGGTAGTTTACTGTCTGCTTCAATTAATTACTTTTTCTTCCATGGCTCATCGTTAAGACATCCCACGTACCTACATATTTGGACTCTGTACCAGCTGAAAAGCAAGAACTCTACAAGGTGAAAGATCACAACTGAAATAGCATACGGTTTAAAGAAGCAAAGTCCCACCTCACTGAAAGGACTGGGCATGGCAGAGTCTACACTGACAAAGGAATCATCCCCATCAGCGGACAGGTTGGAGTTATCAGCTGAGGGAACAAACGGGATCACAAGGTTCATGCCCTCTTTCTTTCTCTTCCCATCCAATTCATCCTCCTTCTTCTTCTGAAATAGATAAAACAGAAGAATAATAATTGTAATTAAAACAGAATAAATGAAGTAAGAAAGGTAAAATTTCAACATCCAATGTAGTATCATAACTCAAGGAATGCCATGTCCAGAACTATCCAAAACAAGTTTCTGAAAGACATAAGAACAGATTTCTTAAAGGCTCTTTTTCTTCATAAAAAAGCTGGAATGCCGTAGAATTATTCCTAGGGAATTACTTTGATTTCTACTGCCTTCTGGAGTAAGCTTGAAATTCACTACCATTAATACAAAATTATCAATGCAAAATCTTCCACTCTCAAAAATACAGAATTTTCATAAACATTTTTCATAAAATAATTCATAAAATATTTTTTATAAATTCTTTAAAAACAATCAATCAAACAAAAACTAATATTCCCTCATTCCATGCAAGCCACACAGCTATTTGGGTTTTATCTATATTTGGTGCTTCATTTGTATTCCATTTTCATCCTTGCAGAACAAAATTTTAATTAAGTCTCCATCTTATATGCTATAAAATGATCATTTAATTGTTTCTTTTCTTTTTTTTCAACTTGATTCCCAAAATTGTCTGCAGGCTGCCAATGATCCATGCTGTGTAAAAACACAGTGCTTCCTTTTTTTCAATTTGCAAATGATATTAAAATATTGGAAGCTATGTGTTACATATTTTGTAACAACTGTATTCTGATTAAGAAAGTACCAGATTGATGTTCAGTGATGAGGAGAAGTCTTTACTCATTAGACAGACATTGCATAAAAATACTTCCGTGCCACATAATAGCGTGCCTGAAGCCTTTCAGGCTCTCTGTCAATGATTTAAAAAACCTTTCCTGTATCAAGATACCTTTTCAGCATATTTTTCCCTTTTACGTTTACGTTCCTTCACACGATTTGTTTCTTCTTGCTGTCGCTTCTCTTCTTGACGCTGACGCACTGTCAGAAAAGAAACACAAGTTGTCACCGCTGAAAAGATAATTTATATCCTTTCCTGAATCATATAAGCTCTAGTTTTTACACAACTGTGTTGAAAAGTCACCTACAGTAAAACCAAAGCACACTGATCAACAAAAAAACTGATAAACAAAAATATATTAAAACTCTGCATCCAAATTACTAAGAAACCTTACAGTTAAAGCAAAAGTCTTCTTTCAAACATGTGTACCTCTGGTATAGCTTCAAAACTACAATGAAATGCACTACTCTTTTTAATACTTTCCTTGTTGTGACCTATATAACTCTTGCTAAAGCTTTGTTTTCAGGAACAACCTAATGATCCTGAATGAATGCCAATAAAAACTTTCATCATCATGTCTCTCTTGCACAACCTCATCCCTCAGCTCAGCAGTGACACAAGACCAGTTTGTACTAACAAGAGTGGTAACACAAAATAGGCCAGGAAAGACTGTAAGAAATACATGTGTTTGTAGAGATAAAAACACGGATTTCACAGGCTAATGAAGTGGAAGATGGAGAACATGCTGTAACATGAATTTCACGTACATTTCTTTTCTAGTTCTTCATCGTCTAGTAGAAGACTGACCACCTCTTTTGGCTTCAAAGTGTCAGGTTTGAAATTGCCACCTGAAATTACCATTCGTTGGATCTAGGGGAGAGAGAGAAGAAGAAATTACACAAAAAAGCCAGGAAATATTATCATACTCTTCATTGAAAGCCAGGCAAAAAAAAAAAAAGACAAGTACAAGTGTGTAAAGTCAAATTGATTTTAACTTCAGTCAGCGTCTCAGCTCAAGTAATTAATTCCAACTCTTATTACCTCAACTCTACTGAAAAGAAGTAAGAGGCACAACTTAGCAAAAGAGCTTTTGTGTAAGTCAATTTTGATGGTTCAGATTGCCAGCAAAAAGACTGCACTTTCAGGTTGATGTCAGGTGATTAACTGCAGTATAACTATAGCAAAACGGATGAGACTGAACAAGAGAAATGCAAATGCATTCAGCTGGGGATGCTTCAATTGCTGCAGTGTCATGATCAGCATCTAATTAAGAAAAAAAGCTAGAAGAAATCCTGAGCATACACAACATTTAAGCATTTCATACAGTATACCTACTGCTAACAAAAAAAGCGATTGTGAGTAATTTTTTCTTGCCAGTAAAGTATCACGAGGTTTAAAGTTTCTAATACATTCACTGCTTGATGCTGCAAGGACACTGAGCTCTTCTGGCAAACCACACACCTCAGTAACTGTCCCTTGGTTATTTTCCAAATTTCTTTAAAAAAAAAAAAAATTACAAAACAGATGTGGTATGACATGGTAACATTAGAGGAATCGGTATAGCCCTGACACAGCAAAGATGCAGAGGCCTGAGTAGTTTCACTGTATCATAAGAAATAATTTCCATGAATTCACGGTGAAAATAATTAGCTTCTTCCCAGTTTATATAATGCAGCTGTAATGATGATGTGTCTGGGGACACAGATTAGCTTCCCTGCAGATATTTTTATATTTCTTTCCTGATTCTGATACGCATTTTCTGATACTGCTTCTGTACTGTATCTTCTTATTCCAGATAATTTCTTTATTCCTACCTCACTCTTTTCCTTAGCTCTTTGTAAGATGCGCTCCTCAATGGTGCCTTTACATATCAATCTGTACACAGTGACTTGTTTTGTTTGTCCCAACCTATGTGCGCGGTCCATGGCTTGCTGGTCTACTGTTGGATTCCAATCACTGTCATAGAAAATTACCTGTAAGAGAATACCAGAACAAGATGAATTAAATAAAACCATATATTTCGGGTAATTGGATATTAAACAAAAAACTAACACACCAAAAAAAAGAGTCCCACTATATGCCTCTGAAAATGACCAGCTCACTGCAGGCTGCGTTTACTCAGCTTTGGCCAGTCTTCTAAAACCTTTTTCAATGCATTTCAAATGCATTCAAACAAATCCACACTGTCAATGTTTCAACTTTTTGTTGTTAAGTTGTACTACAACTTAAATATTTTCTGCTTTGGAGGCACAAAACTCTCAATAAGGTGATAAAATTGTTTTATCACCTTATGAAGTCACCGTCATTCAATCAGCCTATAACCAACCACATCATGAAACCATTTTAAAGTTTTCTTTAAGAAGAAAAATCCCATCAAATCAGGATTTTTCACAAAATCCTACACAATTTTTATTTAGAACTGAATAAAGCCTAGTTTAGTCTAACTCCAGTGTTTTTGCTATGAAATACTGAAATACCAAATTTGTTTTACCTTATCATTCTATAAATGCAATTGATGCACTGTAAATATAAACACAGATACGAAAATAAATTTTAGCTTGCAAAGTATTGAGAAAGCTACACAAACACACAACTAAGAACACTCATCCAAGAAGACTGCAAGAACACGCTAGCATTTCCATCTGTTCATTTCCTCTGTTGAAGTAACTTCAATGGAAAGAACTTTTCAACCCTGAAAATCCCACAGATAGCTTTCTTCTGATTTCTGATTTTCAGGATGACTGTTACCTGTGCTACTGATTCCTTTGCTGCTGAACCTTTAGAGCAAGCAGCCACAGAAGAAATGTATGAAAACGGTATTTGCACCTACAGTAAGCCCAGTCATCCAACACCTTTCTAGACTGTCTAACATTCCTTCTTGCCACATACATCAGTATATCTAATGGCAACCAAAAACTGTAAACCAGGTGCCCAACATTCTAGAATTTTATCGATAAGATAACATGGCATTACAAATACAAGCAAAGTAAGTAAGGCAACTGATGCAAATAGCACTGTTAAAATAATATTGATTAGCATGGGTGTAAGAGTTCCAGCTTCTGCACAGCAACACCAATTTTCCTAGATAAATAGTGGGACTAGGAGACATGAAATAAGCAGCCTGGGAAAAATGGTGGTTGGAGGGATATGAGAACTGAAAGCTAAAAATCAGTAAGCTTATTCATTTTGTTCTGTATTACTTTATGATACTTCACCTACCGTATCTGCAGCGGTAAGGTTAATGCCCAGCCCTCCAGCTCTCGTGCTTAACAGGAACACAAAAATGTCATTCCTGGAGAAGAAAGAGGTTAAAAAAACACCTTATTTTGTGCATGCTGAACAAGAAGTAACTACGGAAGTAAGTTTTTTGACCCAAGTTATCAGGGCTATTTTTATTACTTGAACACTTCAGAACGTTTTGTGCTGCTCATAAGCAAGAGAAAAACATACAAAAAGTTAATATAAAAATCAAGACTGCTGGAACAACCAAACATTCAGCTTGCAAAAGCAGCTTCTTATCTCTTATCAAAACAAACTATAGCTTGTTTATCTTTACCACATTGGAAATTAAGATTTGACACAGACAAAGTTTCACAGAACGGAGCAATGTTAAAAAATAAAATTATAAAAACTTGCACTAACACCGCTCAATTGATAAAGAAAAATTAATGCTCACACTAAGTGCAATTTTTGTTCTAATTTCGATGCTTTGAAGAGAACAAACAACTTCTGCAGAAAAAAAAAAAGAATAAACTTCTATAAAAGTACGCTGGCAAATAGAGAGGTACATTATAAAAAGACAAGGGTCTATAAGCAGAAACAGATGTCCTTCAGTTGAAGGAACCAACTCTAGCCCTAACTGTGCTGCTGATTTATATTACAAGTTTTGTTCTCTTTCGTCCAGTTTTCTTACATACATACAAAATGAAGGAGACAGGCCCGTATGCAGGACAACCAAGTACTGACAAAAACCCGAGTGGTAACAGTGAAATCAGGATTTCTTTTAAGGTTGTGAACCTCACTAGTGCCACTGGTATGGGGCCAGCAGCATGTACACTGTGTCTGTCTGTGCACAGGTTGGCACAAAGCAAAGAGAAGTAAAGAGAACCTCAAAGAGGTTGACATCCTTTGACAGGGCACAGCAAGAGAAGTGCTTAAGAGAAGACACTGTGCAATGCCACGTCCTTTCGGTACCACCATGTCCATACACTGATGCATGCAACATTAGTAAGGAACCAGAAGCTCTTGCTGAATAGGCAGTCTGTCCTTGAGTCCTCTAAGGTGCATTTCTAGCCCTTGCTGGGGCAAGTAGAGGTACTGCATGCCATTGCATGCCAACAGACAGCTAAAACAATTATTTAAAGTATGAATTAAATAAATAAACTCCATCTTGAGCTGCTGGCAGCTGAGAGGAATTAAAGCCAAGCTAACCAACTCTAGACTTTATCTGTCAGGTATCCAAGCCAATGAAGCCAGCAGGTACTATTTACTATCTAGCTAATCCTTGGCCAGGAAGTCTTTGGACTCTTCCAACAATAGTGGAACATGCATATAAACAGTCACCTGAACATCCAGCTTTGAAATGCTTCTGGAAATGCCATATGGAAAGGAAAGAAAGAGGACAGTGCCACAGACTACAGGAACGAATTATGGTTACATATTTTGAGCACCCTGCTAGGACATCCTGCAGCATAGTTTAGTCTCACTCAGGCTTTTTTTCCTGAAAACATTCTCATAAGTAAATCATGTATAAGAGGAATTCAAATAACATTTTAATAGGAACTCTTGTTTATACTGGCTGACCTATATCTCAAAGGGATTTCCTGTCAAAATGATTATTTTTCTTTAGTTGTTCTATTCATTAATAAAAACAAATTTCGTTTTATTAATAAAAACAATTTTCTTGACTTCTCCGGTTAAAGGACCTTACAGGAAGAAGTGTCAGGATTCCAGTAGGACATCACAGCCAGCACAGAAAAGAGAGAAAAGCACTGCACAATCCTTCCGCATCAGACATTGGCACACATGCTTTCCAAGTTCTATTGCTCTGAGGAGCTCCTGCAACCTTCCGCTGTGATACCCTGGGACAGTTAACACTAGGACTAGAGTTATGTGCTTTCACCTTGCAGCAAACCATCTGTGAACCTAACTTGTCTGAAAAACAAAAGTGACCTTCTTAAAAGCACACATCCACATTCAGGAAGGGTAACCTTACTAATAACCATGATACCAAAGTAATATCCTACCAAGCCTTATTTCATGATTAAAAGGAAACTTAATAACCATAAATTCAGTTGTTTATTTTTAATGTGCTTCAATGGAGACAAGGTTATGCTAAAATATTTGAACTTGTAAGATGATTACATAGCTTTCTTTCCTGATGGGCAAGTAAAAGTTGCAAGAATCCATCTTGTTTTTCTAAACTGACAGGCAGCATGTCATACAACTTAACACTTGCTCACCCCCGCCTCCCTCTCTGTTCAAGCTTTCTTAATGAATCCTTCTGCATTAACGATAAAATCATTTATTTACACTGCTACTCTGTGAAACATGCTTAAGTCACATGGCTCGTTTTGTAGCACAGCACTTCCAAAGCTCTAGCACATGCAAGATTTTCCATTTCTTTATTGTGTCAGTTCTCAGAGTACATAATAACTGAAGAATATTTTCCCTGTTCCTATTCAACTTCTTTATAAGCAATAGAATACTTGGACTAGAACAAACAATTACGAGTACACTAAAACTTGCTTCCTGTACTGTTTCACAGATGATTAATTTCTATAGGTTTAGCATCAATACAACTGACTTCTGGCCAGCAAACCATCAGGAAACTTTCAGCTAAATGAGGTCTATCAGATATTATAAGGCACAAATGTCATTTATTTCCATTGCATCTTACACTGACTCTTTACATATACATGACTAACCACACAAACATCTATTAAAATATATTACCTGTTTTGAAAATCCGCCACCATATCCCTTCGTTCAGAAATCTTTGAAGAACCATCCAATCTCATGTAGGTATGCTTCCTATAAACCATATATTCCTGCAAAGAACACACACCAGAAAAATACACTTGCTCTTAGAACTGCTCGGTCTTGATTATTCACCATAAAGAGGCTAATAAATAAATAAATAAAAATCAACACAATAAAAGCAGAATTGTTGCTTGGGGGGAAGAACACCTAAATGCCATTGGTAAATGCTATAAGCAATCTTACGCAAACAATACTTTATTATTTCAGAAATGAAAGCTACCCTTAATAACTTGACAGTTTTTGTATTTCTTGTAAGGCAAGAGATGAATGATGATGTCACTTCAGAGTTGGGCTGCAGACAGTGTTGTTACAGCACTTTTTCTACAAATAAATCTATTAAGTAAATAAAAATCATTAATCTATGAAACTTATGTTCATAAAGTCTAAGCTTTTACCAATCCCTGAGCTTTCACTGTGCCAGTGAACCTTTTCTAACTAACCACTGGTACCTGCTGCCTGTTAATTATGAACCTCTGACCAATGGTTTTAAAAAACCTAGTACTGTACACCAACACCTGCCCAGGCTTTATCTCAGTGATAAAGAACCCAGTGAGCAATGGAAATACTGGTGTTAGCCTTCAGTAGCAGAAGTGAACCCATTACCTGGACAAAAATCAAATGGCATCAACCAGAAATGCTGTAGGCAGAAGACTTTTCCAATGAAACACATTTTTCATGCTCTAAAGTACTTAGCATTTTCTGGTAACTGTGCAACTATCAACACAATCTGAATTACACAGAAAGCTCTGCAGGCTATACATATATCCTTACTGTTTCTTTACAAATATACCCTTTGATATTTTAACACTGTGAGCCTTGGCTGACAAGGCACAACTCCTACTGGTTATATTTGTTAGATTTAACTCTACTGGTGCATGTGTTTGTTTCCTAGCTGCTGTGACTGCAAATGAAGACAGAATGGAAACAGATGGTGCTTTAGCAGCAAGAACTATTGGACTCATCTTGTTCCAAGCTTCAACATTCAGCAGATAAACTGCTGTGCAGTGTGAAGACATGGCAGTATTTGCACTCTAATGAACCCTCCTTTGATAGTACCATGCTCAGCTCTCCTTTCCACCTAGCCTTAGGGCTCCTGCTTCTCCTTCATTTTACTTCATCAGTGCAGAAGAGGTGAAAGAGCTGCCATGCTATAAGGAACCTGAGAAAAAGACTGCTGTGCTAGAGAGAAGCTTCAACATGTAGCAGATGAAAGAGAAAAGGAGGTAAATAAAATTAACAATGCTGAAGAGGCCAAAAATCACATGTGGTTTACCTCTACAAAGCAGGGCTTACGGGTTGTAGGATTTATGGAGCAAAGCAACAGAATTTCGAAGCAAAGAACAACTGCTTAGCCACACAGGCACTCAAGCCCTAATTTATTATTGATTTATTCCACATCTACATCAGCTTTCTGCCACCAAATGAAACCAGAGCAATACAGTTGTCAACTAGGCACTACGTGACCTTTTCTCCAAATATGATTGACCCTTTTTCAGTTATCACACGGGCTTTCTCTTCCCATTTCTTTCTTACTGTCTCTATGTGCATTTACACTGATTTAGTATTTCAACATCTTTAGTATTCCCTCATCTCAGAATTACCACCTCTCCATCAGCATCTTCTAACCAAACTTCACAAACAGAAAACAACTTCCACTCAGTCATTTATCCTAGACCTTAGACATTTTCACTACCACACAATCGACAGAAGAACAAGCTATAAAAGTGCTCCTTGAGTCTTCAGTGCTGATACTTCTCTCAAAAACTGTTTTTTTTACTTTCATGTTATTTCATAGTCCAGATCAAGTGCTGTTACATTTTAACACAACTAATACACGTTTGGTAGCATATAATTAATGCATCAAACTTCATTCAGAATATAATTTGAGTCTACATCAAACATTATTCCCCCTGAAATAATTAACAATTATTCTTCCTTACAGGAAAAAACAATCATATTAAAAAAAAAAAGACAAAAAAACCCCATGACATTAATCTAAGAAGGTACAAAATAAACATCTGCCTGAAATGATGATACTGAAATTCTATTTATCTCTTTCAGCCAAAAGAAAATCTTTTTCCTCTTTGCATTTATACTTACCATCTCATAGCAGCAAAACTAACCATAGTTTTTCAGCTGAAGCTAAATCAAACAAACACTGACTTTGTAAACAATATGCTTTGTGCTCTCTGTCATGCACAGATTAAGTACAATATAATGACAGCAGTTACACTCACACCATCAAAATACTGTTTAAAGAAACAGGATATCTTATGTTTTTACATACAAGTAGGCTGAGGGGATGCATTCTGGTATCACTGGTAAGGAAAAAAGTCTACTGTAAGAAAATCCTTGCAAAAGACGGATTTCAGTCCTTGCTTCACTTGTAGCCTGCTTAGCTTCAATTTCCATTAAGTGGTGGGAGAAAACTAAAACAGGAGACTTGGTAGGTGGCTTACGTGAGCAATAATGCTGAACAAGTGAAGCTGAAAACTTAGGAGGTACAATAGCAAAATGGTGTGCTCCCAAGCCTTCACAATGGAAACAAACAGAAAACAAAGAAGCATCAAACACTCCATTTTATGAGTTTGATGGTGTAACAGAGTGGCAACAAACCTGGACCACATCCAACATTTACCAAAAAAAAAAAAAAAAGAAAAAGAAAAAAAAAGGGAAAAAGCTGAGATACACCATTGCAACCATGCAAGTTCTTCTTTTCTTCACAGCTTGTGATGATTTATTGCACTATTAACTGCTGACCTTAAATACACTCCTCCTCATATGAGACTGAGACAGCTATTAGGTTCAGGCTTTTCATTTGTTCTCTTCTAGTGGAGAAGACAACAGCTCAAGTAAAACACTGCTGAGGGAGCCCATGTACGTCTAGAACTAATGGCTGAAGTATCACAGGACCTTCATGTTTTATCAGGGCTGAATTACACTGCCAAATGCAAATATTGTCTTATCTGTTACATATTCAGTCAGAAAATTTTATCTCTTTGAAATTACTGAACATCAAGTTTCCTACTCAGAATTAGACAGTCATAAAAACTACCATGACTAATCCTTCATTGATAAAGGATGGAAGCATTGCAACACAAGACAATCTCTTTTTTTTTTTCCCCAGATCCAGAGAAAAAAACCCAAAATTTGCTGTCTTCAACAGAAGTCCAGAGAAAGAGGCACTTTTTTTTTCCAAAACACTGTAAGTATTACAAATAGAAAATAAAATCAGTAACCCTCTCACTAATGTCATTTCAGACTAGCTCTATAGTGACATGGCTGCTAATCAAATAGTGATTATTTTTTTTTCTTCTAAGGCAGACTGGCTGTATTTAAATATTGAGTATCACTTAGTTATTGATTTCTTTCCTATCATATATGCCAGATAACCTCTTCTTATTAATGTCTATCAAACTGGAATAAAATGACAGAGGGAAACAGTAAAGGTCTGTGAAATTACCAGCAACATTAATATAACAGAAAATTGATGATTTTTCTCACTTCTCCTTCCAATACACAGGCATCAAAAGAAACTAGAAGAAAGCAGTTCAGAACCAGCGAAAGAGGCTAATTAAGCCATGCAAAATCTCTCCACAGGGCAGTGCAAACAACAAAAATTTACAAAGACTCAAGATGTAACTAAAAAATTTCATACAGAAGCCACACCTGGCTCAGAAAGCCCTCAAGCTGCAAAACACTGGACACAGAGAATAACTGTGAAGTATCACTATTCTTATACATCTTCCCCTAACCATCTGTGCTGTACACTGCTGGAAGTTTGACAACAAGTCAGACCCTCAGTCTACTTTTGTATAGCACATCTTATTCACTCACGTTAATGCATTTGTTGGGTAACCCTCAGTGTAACCACTTTAAGTCAGGCTTGCTGCATTCAAATTTTTGTATTTTCTCCAAAACACAGTTACTAAATTTGCACCTTCAGATTTTGCCTCCTGTAGGCTACAGCTCTCTTACCTCCAGTAAGTCAATCATCCGTGTCATCTGAGAGTAGATAAGAACTCTGTGCCCTTGAGATTTCAGCCTTGTCAACAGAAGATCAAGAGCATGAAGTTTTCCACTGTCGGTGATCAGACTCTCCTTGTCTAAGAAGAAATGGAAGAAAAGAAGTAATACAGTCAAAATAGCTACAAAGCAACGGTTTAAGTAAATTCTAAGTTTTGCTCGCCCTTCACAACATTATAATTCCTAAATGGCGACAGAAGAGATGGCAACATCCCTCTGGCTGACACTCACGGTAATGCTGCTGACAGTGACTTTTGTTTACTGGGACAGGACTACATGAACTTATCCACTTGGCAAATTACATCACAGATTGATCTGCTCATGAGAAGGGAAACAGACGTTCTTTGGACAGTCATTTCTCCCTTCTAAGGATCAACCCTATCCAGTTCAACAACAGTAGCATATCTTTACAGTTGCCTTCCCACCCTATAATGCTGTCCTTTGGACATTTGCTGCTACCCACTGCTGAGCTTCAGACTCTTTCCTCACAAACCTGATTTCAAGACCAAACTCATCACCAGCACAGAAGCTGAAAAACAGTTCTCTAGGTCACTGTAAAACAACTGCCCCTTCACAGCACTGCCTTAATTTTTACTTCTCTTTCCTGCCCTCCACCTTTTTTTTTCTGTTTAAGAAACATTTCCAAACTTCAATCTTGTAAATCATTGCAGATTTTATACTTCGTGTCCTCTCTATTTCAGCACTGCTTATGAAGTATTTTTCAGGAAGGAGATCTTCCTGTTTGCACATTCTCTACATAAACTTCAGTAAACAATACATTACTGTTGAAAGAGGATGAAGAGACATTTTCTTCCAAAAAAATTATCTGTTGGGAAAGTCACCGATCATTCTTTACTCTTTGGCATGTCTGAATTTAGATCTACAGCCAAAACAGAAAGTTGAGAACTGCAAATAGCACAGGCTAGTACAGAGTCAAAATATTTTCAACGCATCCAGCAGGTAATGTTTCCCACAATTCCAGCTGCATTGAATAAATTAACAGATAGTCTGAAGAAAATCCACCTTCCCTTGAGGCAGCTGATAGTCTTGTACTATATTTCAAACAAACGGTATATACAAAAAATAATTTGTTCATCAGAGCACAGTGCATTTTTGTATAGCTAAAACCAACCACAAGTTTCCATGCTTGTGAAAAAGATGAATACAGAGCTTAAGTGGAGAACACTGCTCCTAAAAATGCTCATGAGCATCACATCAACAAGGTTTTTGTCCACGTGCAGTGATGTGGCACAGGGGGCTCATTTGGTTCTTGCGTGTACAACCACACGGAGAAAAAGCAGACAAGTAGCTGTTCTTCTACATAATTCAAAAGATTATTTTGAAATAACACGATAAGGTTTATGGTCATTTTATGAAAAGTTAAAAAAAAAAAAAAAAAAAAGAGAAGCATTGGGAAAATAATCCTCCAGATTTCTGTGCATTTAAAAGCTTTTCCTGCAGTGAGGAGTTCTGAATCTTGATGAACTCCGATTTTTCAAAGACCAATTGGCAATACACAAGGTTTTTCTTCTAGCCAAAAGTTTTCAACAACAGAAGAGAACTTTATACTGGATACAGAGTATCCAGTAATTTATGTCAAAACCATAAAAATTGAGCATGCTTCTCTCCTTAGTCTCCTAACAGAGAAGGAAAAACTAGTGAGCCAAAGTTTTATCCAGAAACATGGTGGATTCTTCATCATTTCAGTCTTTCCAATCAAGATCTCAAGAAAAACTACATTCTTAAGTTTAAACATAAAGAATGGGCTTGATGCTGGAATTACTGGAATTGTATCAGACCATCAGAAGCTGAAGCCACAGTACTGTGTTCTGACACTCAAAAAATTGTGAACTATCATTGTCAGTTAGAACTATTAGTAATATATCTGCACTGTAAGATGGTGCTGCGAATGCCTTCTGCCTTGCTAAGTGCATAGCTGTCCTTCTGCTTACACCAGCTAAAAATTTGAGACAGAAAAGCTCTGCTCATTTTTGCTTCACTGCCCATTTGGATGCTCACTGTTGTATTTTATTTCGTTCTCCCTTCATAAAGAAAAATCTCATCTGATGGTGATCTTGTTGCTTTGCCAGGAAGAAGTACCATATCATTACTTGAATCATTACCAACTATCTCATGGAATTCACCAACTGGAAAGCTACATCGAGTAGATACTGTAAGGAAAACTCAAGGCTACAGCTCAGGCTGGCATTTGTATTAACTACAATGGAGTGTATAATTCTGAAACCTAGAATAGAGCTCAGTCTCAACTGCATACAAATTAATACAAGTTAATAATTTTATACATTCCTCTAAGGAAACCCAAACTTTTAACTTCGGCAGTTAGATCAAGTGGAAATGAGTTACTCTCTTTACTCTTTACACTAAATGTTATTCTTGCTATCAAATCAAAGTCATGACATTTTGATTTTATTCAAATTGCTCAACCTGCTATTTCAGAATGAATTAAATAGACATAAGTAACATGAAAAGTCTAGCTATGCTTGCCAAAATGACATGATCATTAACCAAAAGCCATTTGTCTGAAAGGAAACTGAGAGAACCGGGTTTGTTCACAAGTCCACCTAGACTAACTCGGTTTGATACATCACGTTTCCAGAAGTAAAAAGCTACTGTTTTTCTACAACAAGCATGATAGGTAGAACTAAGTTTTGCGAAATGGAAATGATGCATATCCTTTGCTACTGGCTCCTTAATATTCCATTACATAAGTAGCTATTTTCGAGTTGCACTAGAATGCAAATTAAAAGAATTGATTTACAGATGGTTTTACAGTCTGAAAAGCTAGTTAACAGTTCATAATTTGTCTAACATCTCAGCATCTGAGCAGACCGCACTGATGAGAAAGCTTTTTCAGGATAGCAAAACAAAACCAACAAAAAAAAAAAGATCTGTCATCTTTGGAAGAGAAAACCGTATGACTACAAGCCTGACAACTTCACTGCGCTATCTCAATATCGCTGTTTTCCAAAGTCATGTTTTCGTGTGCTTAAAGCCTGCCACCTAGTGCTTCAAAGGACAGCCTGTGCAAAGTCCTAACAAAAAGCGTAATATCTTTTTGCCCCATGGTTGGAAAACATCTCAATTATTTTAAAGTGTCTTCCATCTCTAGTTTTTCCCATTGCTATTTCTCACTTCCTTTTACCCTGGTGAAAGAAAGTGGCCACTTTTATTAAATAGGATTTTCAAAATTCGCAGTTCTACAGTTTTAATAATCAGTGAAAGCTTTCAACAACAATGTATTCTGATATACATATTAATAGCATAAGCAAATGAACTTATAAAATTTTGAACCAGTCAGGTGATGAGATCCTGGATTACACTTCAAAGAATGATTCTTAAGGCACATTTTTTTGGGTTCTTCTTTAGCACTGTATGACAGACACTAAACAACAACAGGACAGCAACTGTAAAATTCTACTCTGTGGCTTTCCGTTTGAAAAAAAGCTCCTGCCTCCAGCTGTGGACAATAACTATCAACAAGGAGATATTTGGGTTCCTATGGCCTGGGAAGAACAGCTAGAAATGATTATGACTCAAAATAACCCCAGTCAGAAGAACTGGCTTATGACTGCAGCTGGGCTCACTGCTCTCTGAAGAATAAGAAAAAGTGCCTCTGGACATGCAAAATGCAGAGGAAAGAGAGATAAAGCCTGGGTTCCAGTTGACACCCCTGGATCCCCTCCCGACAGTCTGTGCAGCACAATGGGGTCAGTGAGGAGCTGGCTGGCTCTCACAGTAAACAGCCAGTGAGGCCGGTGCTTTTTATCGATGCTAAAAGGACTCAGACACTTCCTGCCATTTAATCCAGGACCATTTTTCTTTCAAAGAACAGGAAAAGCCTCAAGAGATTCCCACAGTGATCGCAGCTGAGCCCGCTGCTAGGGCACTGGGAATGCCGAGGCTGGAAGAGGATAGATCAGGGTTAGGACAGAGAGGTTTCCCCTTTGCTCCTGTCACCTATTTACCATGGACCTTCACACCCATGCCTCCCATTTTACACTTGCTGGTCTTCAGCATTATAAATAGTTTTTCAGGCTATCAGTCACTTTCTGGAGTGCATCGTGCCTGCTTTTGCATGTATAAACACAGAAGTCCTGTTGTAGTATGTGTCCTCTTCTCTTAGAGTAGGTTTAGATTTGAATGCATCTTTCCACCTAATTAAAACACAGCTGTACAAAACCACTTTTTTCATCCACTTTTAGCACTACACCTCCCAGATTAAGTCAGCTACACAAACAAATCCTTTGCTGAGCTTGGACAGCAATTTGTTGAATTTTGTACCTATTCACTCACTCCTGTAAGATTCTTGTTTCCCCATCATTATTCCTCTACACATTTTTGCTGCTGACAAAGCTCTCAGTCTCTTCACGAGAAAGCAGCCCTCTCCCTAATTCTACATCATCCTCTTCATTTCTGTCCATGATTTCTATCTTAATGTATCCCTTAATTAGTTCCTCATCTTCTAATTCTAGATAACTGGTAAATGATTCCACGAATTCCTGAAGAAAGGAAACTATTAAATCAATCGCTAAATGTTAATCAAGTGCAAACTCATGAAAAAAAGTTTCTCTATTACATAGGAACAAATGTGCGTGTTCTTCAAATGACTCTATGTACTTAGGATGTACTTTCTTAAACCGGACTCTAGCAAGCAAAAGGCCATTCTCCTTTTACTGTACTAACTTCCCCTGCCAAACATCCTTGACCCAAAAGGGTCTGGGAATAACTTAGGATCTGGCAGTGTAAGCTGTTTTTCCTCTTGGCTATCTCTCAGATCTCTAGTGCTTTTTGCAGTACTTGCTCACTGCTCAGGACCATCTTCTGACAACTAGACCATGCCCAGTGCCCAAGTCACAGTAGTATCAGCAATCAAATTCTAGTAAATCTTGAATTATTTTAGCCTAATTCCAGGAAAAAGTGACGTACACTTACATTTACATTTCTCATTTTACTAGGAAATATGAACAAGTTTTCTTTATTTCAACTCAACAAGTCCTGCATGCCTTGTTTCCCAGGAAAATTTCATCTGAACCAGGTCCCTGCATCCATTCCACTCATGGTGAACTGTGACAAGTACTTTTTATCCTTCCACTACCAAGACCAACAAAATATCTCAGATCAGTACAAAGGTCTTCCAACATATCAGGAGGTAAAGCATGATCAAAACTTTTCCTGCAATATCTCTATCTCCAACCTCAAACTACTGTCTGGGTCATGAGAGTACCGTGGTTCATTTAGCAAACCCACCTCTTCACAGACATTTTGAGGACTGACATGCAAAGAGAGGTTTGTAAGCATTAGAAAAGCTTGTACTAGACTTGTTCAGTCTCCACTGACAGCTTTACTGCTCACAGAGGATGTGCAACCACAGTACAATTTAAGATACCAGAGTTAACTTTCACTCAGGAGGTGCAAACAAAACCACATAAAAATCATAAGCAAGCAGCATGACGACCAAAGAATAGGTGGCCTTTACCTAGCTCTATTCCATGACAAGCTCCAAACTCACCTGGTATCCTGATGAAAGACCAGCCGTTCTGAGGCCTGATCCCCAACAGTCCTCCTGGATATTCTGGGAAGAACTGGGAGCTTTGTTTCTGCCAGTCAGCTGCTAGCTCAGGGGCTCCATTGACTAAACACTGTTTTGCTTCAAGACTTCCTCCTTCCCTTAGTGCTCTGCGCTCGTATTCTGCACTTCGATCATTGCAATAGAACTCCAGTGGCACAGCTGTTACCTGTAAGTAAAAATGTAATCAACATTATTGCTCAAACTGTCCTTCATCCTCATCCCCAAATCCCATCTCAGTTACCTTCACACTGGTTCAAGTTTTAAAAAGCCACATCATTTCTGACACATATAAATGGAAAACAACCTTAAACCAGCTTAAAATAAGGAAAGATGGAGCATCTTCCCTCCCTACAAAAAGCCCCATGAACAATCAGGCATGGACTATTTGTCTTTTGATACACACTGTCTTGTATCAATTGCTATACAACTGATAGCAAAACTGACAGTAAAAGAAAAATATTCTTGCTGCATCTTTCATTTTGCCTTGTTTTTTTTGTTCTTTTTTTTTTGCTCTTCACAATGCAGCATTTACATAGCAAATACGAAATCTACAAACTGGCCTCAACAGAAATTCATGTGATAATTTAAGACTATCAAGAGACTTATTAATATGTTGTAAGATCACTTAAAAAGTAAACCATAATTCAGTATTACACAGTTAACCTTACAGTGTGGGATTAAACCAGAAAAAAGTATAAATTTGCAGTACTTTGTAAATTACCTGACAGCAAAGTCATTGTTGCTATTTCAAGAAATAAAACTAAAAAAACATTTTCCAGGTAGATTCAGCTACATTGCAAACATTCTCATGAATCCTAATACTCTGGAAAATGAACACATTACACAGGGACAAAAAGCAATGAAACGAACAAAAGAACAGAAGAAATCAAAGCTTCGAAAATATTCACATTTTAAGATGGAGACAGAGCTGCATAGTAAGAAATACTAGGGGAATCTGTAGGTTTGATGTTAAACAGCAAGCAGCTGAGCCTTCTGGAGAATTGAGAACATGTGGCAACAGGTTTCATAATGGGACAATTGAAACCTGAAATACAGTGGAAGAATTATCTTATAGCTGTCTGATATCTTAGATGCTGCCTACTCCTCTCTGGACATTTACCAGCTAACTGAAAATAGGAGATACAGAACAAGATCTTTCTGATAGAAACCTATGGTCTTTTCATAGGAATAAATTTGTTTCATGAACAGATTTATCTTTGCAAGTACCAGCGGCTTGTTTAAACAGATTTGTAAGTACAATTTGGGGACATACTGAAACAAAAACCAGAAAGGCATACAAAATCTTAGCAGTAATTGTTAAGCCATTGTTTTGCAAGATGCCAAAAGCTGTTTTTAAATCAAACTGTCTGGTAAATTGCATGCAAAGTGAACGGGACTTCACTAAGTAAGGCTTTGTTTGCATTTCCACCACTTGGTGCTGGGGTTGATGCTATCTTGCACTGCCACCTGCAGTCCAAGCATGGCACTGTCTTCTGTGCAAGAGTGCAAAATCTCTCACAGTTCCAAATTCAATTTTTGTTGCCTCAGCACTACTGTCCACTGCAAACTATGGCAGAGATTGGTATTGTTTCTTTTAAGGGACACTTTTCAGTTTCTATCTCTACGAAGGATAAACTAGAACATTCCTTCAAGCAATATCTTCCCTAAAGGAAGCACTGCCAGGAGACAGCCTTGAGATAAACTGCGTACCTCAACTTTTTGTGATTGAGCACTACCTGTAATCAGGCAAATAGCCTCCTGTAGAAGGGAAATTACTCTGCCAAATCACCCTCATCAATACCTCCTCCCCACCCCCTACCCAGAATTGCTGCTCCATAAACACATGCTCCTATTTCTTTCGCTCCATTAACATCTCAAAATTCATCACAGGTCAAACAACAGGAGGCTATAGTTTCTGAGAACATGCCCTTTGTGCTATTTCAAGTCTTGTACACTCCTGCCAAAAGTTTCCAACAAACACATAAGTCTTTGTATTCCTACAAACAAAATGTAATGCTTTCATTTCATCATTTTGCTACACTAGCCAATTAAAACAAGCACCTTTATTCACAAGAATAAGCATCAGATATGATCTCTCTTCACCCTTCCCTGCAAACCTGGCCTTCTAAACCTGTTTCTCCCTTTCCCAATATTTAGGTAGCATTCAACACATTCTTCAGAAGTAACTCAACTTTAAGCACAAAGAGTGACAAATCTTTTTCTTGGAAATCTGAAGGAATTTAAAGGAAAAGGGAGTAACTGCTTGTCATCAAACCAGGCAGTATGTTGTGACTGTACTGATATGTAACTTTGAAAAACTCAGTTATACTTCTGGCCCTTAGGACTGCAGGCACAGATGAATTCAACCCAAGGAACACACAGGTGGGAAGCAGAGACCTAACAGCCATCCTCCCTTCTCCAGATGCCAACATATAAATATATACACAGCCACATTTTGATCAAGCTGTATCAATAACATCAACGCTGTAAGATTGATTTCCTACAGGAAAAAGAAAGGGTTTGTTAGTTGTTTTGTTTTTTTTTTCTTTCCTTCCCTTTTATTTGATTATGAAGTAATACAAGATAAGGTGTGGTATCAACTATTGTTTGTTGGAGATATCATCTATATGATTTCATTCACCAACTTAAGTGGAGAAGAGTAAAGAACTACGAGGCAGAGAATAAATAATCTAGAGACACAACTTCTCAAATTAACTACATACTGCCTACTTGGTGGAGCACAGCCTCAGCTTTCTTATCTTAAGCACGACCAAGGATGTGCCCAGCAGCCAGCGACTTCTATGGAACTTTACCTCTGTAACTCACTCAGCATGCTATAAAACCCAGCACAGTGGCATCTACTGCATGTTTATCTCACTTTCAGCTGTTTCCTCAAAACTGATGTTCATCCATGCGATTAGGAGAAACATTTGGTGATTTATCTTTTAACAAGAGCATAGGTCAGAACCTCCTTTTTCACAAAAGGTCATTCTGAAGGTGGAAACTCTCTACAGATATGCTTATCTACTATGATGACAAATGGTAGATTGAAGCCCAGATTTGAATCTTAAGTACATTTTGTCAAGCTTTGCCAAGATCCAGAAACACAATAGCCACAGACTTCTGAAGGTCCCCCATGTCAGCCCAGAAATCTTCAGCTAAAGTAATTGCAAAATTCAGTTACTATTTGATAGACAATCCCAAGCAGTACCATTTGATAATATCCAGAAGATCTTAAACTTTCTACTCAGTCCTTTTATACTACTATTTGGTGTTTCTTTTTAGAGCACAAGCTGATGCAACAAGATAAACTCAGTGTCCTTTTCAAAAAAGCATTACTACTCAGCTCCCTTTGACATGAGAATTCACCATTCCATTCATATCATACCTACACTTCAGATTATATGGGAAGAATCTACCTCACAATCTTTTTCTACAATTTTACAGTTTTTGTTATTAGGAAAGAAAGTGAAATCTATGTATGTCACAAGAACTTGTTTGGGTGCATCTCCCAACTTTCCTTTTCCCTTCAATAGCCACTGCAGTCACTTCCTCTATGAAAAAAGCACTATAGAATACAGTAGCAAAAGGATATCCTCACAATTTTACCCAACCAAAAGAAAGCAATAGATCATCCTGTTCCTGTGACACCATTCTAACAAGATTTAAAACACAATAGAAAATACATAATTTATAACTTCACTTGGACTTACCCGTGGACTGGCTATGCACAGGAAGGACGGCAGCTCAGTCACCTGGCAGCACCGTACACATGAGGTAGCTGATCTCCTTCGATGTATGACATGATCTGAATAGCCAGTAACTGCTTTGCAGTGGCTACTGAACACAAGGTTCTAAAAACAAAATTAAAATTGAGAAGTTATTACGTTTCTAATCAAAAACTCCTCTCAGATCCTGTAATCACCTATGACAAAGACAGAAAAAGAACACTCCAAGTATTTCTCTTGGAAAGAGGGAACTCTACACATCTGCAGTGACAATGTACAAGATCTCCGAGCAGTTATCACAACATTCAAATACAGAAATGCCTCAAATCAGCATAGCTCATATCCATATTTATCTTTACATTCAGTTGCAACTAAAAACCATTTTTTTTTCTCCTTTTTTGAACCCTCTGATCTTGGCTTTTATAATGAAGGAATATTCCAGTAGAAAACCTTCAAGCCATTTTCTAGCTGCTTCTTTATTTATTCTGAAGTATGGGAAAAATGAAATCTGGCACAGAAGACAACTTAAGACACTAGGTTACACTGGACAATCTTTAGACATTCATTTTTTCCAACTTTTTCTTCCCTTCCAGTGCAAAAAGGCTCTGAACATTATCCCCAAAACTTCCCTGGTGTTGCATAATTACTGACACATGAACATACCAATGTGTAAAACTTGGAATTTGCAAGAGGATTGATGTCCTTTTGATATAGAACAATATACTGACTACCCCTGCTGACAAGTGGGAACCATTCAGTCAACACTAAAGTTTAAATCAAGGACAGCTCTTTGAAGATGCCCAACTACAGAGAAAAATAACAGACAACAAAACTAGATTTTGTGTGCATCAGTCATATTTCCTTTATCAATGTTAATATCTGCATCAAATGATGAAATGAATCGATTATAGACTAAGCAATTTCTGCTACTTTGTTTTTATTCTAGCTCTTCTACGCTCTTACCAACCAATAGTTATACCCAATGTAATCACAATAACAAGAACATGAGATCATTATTCTGAATGCTACAGGAAACAAGCAACAAAAAACAAACATTAAGAGGCAAACTTCTTGCTGCTGTTAGATCACAGAACGTGCCCTTCAGACAATTCTAGCAGTTCACTTAAGTAAAATGTGAACAGCACCAAAAGCTTCAATATTATTCTGCCCCAGATCCTACTGCACCAAAATTCACCACATGCTACTTCTAATTGACAGGAACTCCCAATTTTCTAAAATTCCAGTGTCTGAAACCCTACACATCAAGCCATACTTCGGAAAGTTTATATCCAGAGTATCTCAAAAACTTTAGAAAACATCCAAATAGCCACAGCAGTACCCCACCATGGACATTCCTGGCCCTATTTCCAGATACTGATGCACTGAACGAGAAGCAGATGGTTAGCATACAGGTGACTCCACCTGTCCACATCAATACACCATCAGCAGATCTTTACATTGACTGGGTTAGTTCACAGTTCAAAAGAAGAAAACAGAAGAAAATAGTGTAATAAGAATTACACTAACTGAAAGAGAGATAAGTAGAATAATTTGGAACCTCCTGACAAAAGAGATAAATAGCTTTACTGTTCATAAGTGCTCTGATCACCTATGAAATACAAACAACCCTAGCACATAAGCTGATCTTTCAGCTGCTACCAGTGGGACTTGTGATCAAGCAAAAAGTTCCAACTCTAACTGAATATCTGCTCCCGTATGGAAGATGTCTGAAAAGGCTGACGGTAGACTTTCACTGACACTCAGCAGGGCAAAAAAGCCCTGGTCAAAGCTTGATCCACACGGGATAACATCATCCTAAGCAGGCTCTTACTCAGCTGCAACTCTTTATAAGTAGCACTATCTTAAGCAGAAACTACTTCACATATTCACTCCCACATCTACAGAGCCCCTTCTGCTTGTTGGCATAATTGTCTGCATGTTCGGAAGTGGATCAAGATGAAAACAAACCCTTGCTCACCCACTCCATGTTAGTTCTGTGATCCTTCCCATCAGCTAGTAAAGCAGACTGTGCTGAAATAGCATAGCGCACAGTGCAGGGCTGGGGATACACAGCTGTGGACAACTTACACATGTGAGTACCAAAAATTCAGCTACATATAAAATCAGAGAACAAATTCAGCAGACAGAAAATAGTCGCAGCTGGCTCACTCAGGTATCTGAGTGCAAGGGCACATATCAGAGGAGGCAGGATCCAGCAGCTGAGAGTAAAGAAATGAAAACAAGGGTCAGAGAAGAGTGGCTTCTCTTAGCAACAGCAAGCTATTAGTCAGACTCAGAAGAGCTTCTTTAGGTTAAAGTTCATTTCTTCCCTGGCCCATATACAGGAGGTATAGCTGGTACTAGAAATACACAGGAAGAAGCAAAGAAAAAACTTCCAAGAAGGTATCCAAAATAAAAGTATTATTTTTACAAGCAGACAATATTAGAAGCAGTTCTTGTACAGTGGAAACCAGCTTGCCATCGGTCACCAATGTGAAAAAGCCTGGATAAGGTTACAGAGCAGAACAGAGGCATGGCTCTAAAATGGCAGTACACCAAAGCTAAGCACACACACAGAGGAGTGTTAAAACAAATATGCATGTATGTGTCTACTGCAACCAAGCAATCACAGTAATTGCTGAAAGAGGCTTTCCTATCTAGCAGACGGCAGCAAACAAATATGGGATATGGCTACCAGCACTGTCCTAAGCTCATTAACACCCCTAAGGTTTTATACAAAGAAAATGAGGAAAGCAAAGGAGAGAAGGGCTCATATCAACAGATCAGATTTCATATTAATTTCAGTCAACATATACAAATCAATACACATGTGGAGATGCTAAGGGGAATGAATAGACTTAACACTGCAAGGGACTTCTGTGCTTATGTGAAAAAACTCATACCACCTTTAGACAGATGTTACTTCAATTTTAGATTGAACCATTAAAAAAAAGGTTTTTTTTTTTTGTCTACTGACTTATTTTCATAGTTTGCGTCTTACATAGGAAATGCTGACCTGAGCAGTTAAGAAAAGCCTTTCCAGATTTATACCATTTCCTTTTTCCTCTGTTTCTTCCCTCCCCACTCCCTGTATGTTACTATCTTGCAAAGCCCTAGATGAAGCCTCTGGGAGTTTTACATTAAAAATTTCTCAAATTTGGGCCAAGTTTTAAAAAAAGTGTTCTGTTAAAAGAAAGAAACAAGAAGGACTACTTGTTTTTCTACACCAACTTTTGTTTTGCACATTTTTAAGAAACCCTATACATAAGCTATCTGGAAAATTCTGCAAAGGTAACTTATTTTAAAGTGATCTCAAGAGTAATTTCTCCATAATAAGGTTAGAAAACTTCTAAGGAATCCTTTGTAACTGTAAGGCTAAACTTCCTTTCTCCTTACTGGGGCTATCACAAATGTGTTGTACTGCACAAGCTTATGAACTTTACTCCCCAGCTGGTTGTTTTTCTGTCAAACACGATGTATGACAGTCGCAGCCCTGGGAATCCCAGAGACACCAGTAAGAGCTTCGTGAATCAATCCAAATGATTTATTTGCAGAAACAAAATCACACATCTAAGACCTTCCAGACTGTGGTACAGGTGAGTCTCAAGTCTATCCACTTATTTTTCATTCCATTCTTAGTATTAAAAGCTAGATATGCATATTCCACATCTATAATGTAAGCCCACCTTCTGCTTTGTAAGAAACTATAACAGTTTTTATTTCAACACTTACATATGCTAACCCAATGGATTAATTATGGCCTACAATGACATCATCCTCTACTTTCCTTCTGTTAGGCTGCAACATTTTCCACAACACACAAGTTTTCCTTGGCCACACTCAAGAGAGGACAGAGCTACAGAATAGTTTCAGAGATACAAACAATACACAGATAGTACTCAAATGGCTAAATACAACTTAAAAAAATATTTTGCAAGCAAATCCTCAGTTCAGACATTTTATCATGCTAGATAGGGAATCACAGAATATTTAAACACCAGTACAGGCAGAGTTAATTGGCACACACACACACTTGGCTTGATCTTTGTTTGATAACTAGGAGAGCTCATTTTATTGGCTTTGCTGTTAACGATGCAAAACATGACACCAGGCTCAAGGTTGGTTTCCTACTGCTTACATGTCTTCAATTTCAACTTCCTCCACACGCTATTCAATTGAATTCTGGCTATCTCCTTTCCCCTTGCAAACTCATGAAGTGAAGCAATATTCCCCAGAGAAATCTGGCAAGATCTCATTGTTTCAGAAAAGATTTTTTCACTGCAAATATAACTGCCACTAAAGGAGAATTTCAGCTATATGCTAGCTGTTTTCCTGACCCTAATGCTAATCTTTTTTTGATTTTATTTTCCAATGAAACAACTTGATGGAATTATAACTCAAGAAATCAACAACTAGATCGTGACAAAACATTCACCCACATCCTAGAGTAAGGCTTAGAGAAAATGATCTTGCATTACACAGTAAAATGAACACATATGTAATCTACTAGCCAGCAGTAGAAACAAATGTCAGAGTAGAAAGATGACCACCGATAATGCCTGTCTACCAGCTCCAAATCATTGCTAGCCTGAATGAAGCCTCCAATTATCCCAGTTGCTGCAACAATGTACTGAATTTGAGAAACGTTGGTTTCAGTTAGAGTTACAAAAAACTTGCAAGCTTACACATAGAATCTGCCTCCAACCAATGAAGAGCTTAGTTCAGCTATTCCAATAATATTTTTAAGACTTCTAATCAACTAATTTATTTTTATGTAGCAAGTTTTTAAATGTATTGCTATACAAGAGGAAGACAGAAGTCAAGACATTTTTCTGTTCAGCACTCTGAACTTCATCTAAGAGAGAGAACTAATAAAGTTATCTTGTTTCTAATTTTATGTTTCCTTCTGTTTTGTAACAACAAGAAGTTCTCACCATTCTTCCCTCATGGGGATTTGCTTACATCTCTACTTTGCTTACCTGCAGCAAAGTGCAGCTGTGCAAGTTAGGGAAAGACAGTGGGAAATTTACATCAAGCAAGAAATCCTTGTTCTTTAGACAGTGTGAGCCCTGCTGTTTCTCTCTTTCTGGTTCCATCCAGGAGCGCAAATGATGGAGCCTGTAGGAGGCTTTCAGAGACAGGAAAAGAGCTAACCATCTGAAACAAACCACAGCAGACACATTTATTCACTATTTTGTGAAACAAAAGCTTGAATATATTTAACAACAATAATTTCACAAATGGTTTTTGATTTTTTCCCAGAAATTTAGGCTGACAGTGTTCTGGCTTGAGGGCAATCATTTTCACTAGACATCTGCCAATTATACTATTCTTATTTTTATTTTTTCTAAAATGGCTTTAATTGAACCCAAATGATGAAATTAGAATACACTTGGAAGTACACTTCATTTAAAAGGGTCAAGTCCAAGTTAGCCACTACTTCCAAAAATTGCATTCTGACTTCTCTGTAAATTATTCCATGTATGTATTGCTCACAGCAACCTATATAACAAATGCAGAATTTATCACAAAGATCAGAGAAATTTGTAATGCTACTAAAACACAGGTGAAAAACCAGGTGTCCAAAATAACTGCAACAATAAGAGACTAAAACAAAGCCCTAAAGAAAACACCTTCATTTATTAATACATTCTTGCTTTTTATCTTAAAATTCTTACAGCCACTACTAAATGTCAGCCATAGTACTGTCACTTATGGAAAACACCATCTTAAACAGATTCACTTCCCTTTCCAAGTCAAGACAGCTCAAAATATTAAAAATCCACCATTCTCAGCCTGTACCATGGAATTCAAATTTATATTAAAAACAGGACACGTGGAGAAGAGACAATATGAACTGGAGTTGACCAACAACTATCACAGTGCAAGCCTATTCCACATATGTTAAATATACACTCAAGTACAACTGATGAGCATTACAGCAAAATGTTCTTTAGAAGTCTGGATTTCGTACTTCATAATGCCAACAACCTACAGCGTGATCCTAAGCAAACTCTTCTCTTGCCCTTTGACCATCTTATATATCTGGAATGTAAAATCTTTGTAATAGAGGTTTCCTCTGACAGAAGCATTAAAAATTACTTCACATAATGGTGCCCTGCACCTGGAGAAAACTCTGCAAGTTTACTTATTCCTTAATGACAGATAAATGACAAATATTAGGAGGCACAGAAAATGCAGGTTTACAGAAGTATCTTAACAACACCTGTATTTTTCCTATAATTATTAAGAGAGAGAAAAATGTTGTCCTCACCTGGCTAAATGTCCCTGATTCATGAGGTTTGCCATTTCTGCTGGCGAGACATCAATAAACCGGAGGAAAGAGAAACAGCTTTCTTCATTGATGCCTATGTCACAGAAATACTGAAGTTAGGCCAGGACATATTACAGACACCCAACAATGTGTGCTAAAAACAATGAATACACTTCAACTGTGGTAAACTCCATTAAAGATACACATTCTCTAATACAGAAAATCTGAGTGAATAAACAGGAGATCCTAATTTAACCCAGATCTCTTAGAAATTCTGAAAAATACATGTGAATTGCTGTTTCCCAATTCCAAGTTACAGTTCATTTTCCAGTCTGGGCAAGAGAAGCGTATTTACAAAGACAGAAAAGCATGCTATCAGTAAAGACATTTATTTGACCTACAAGGAATCAGCAGGCAGTTACACATTTGCTAGTGTGACCACAAATCTCCCAGAGAGCTAACCAGAACATACACTCTTAAGGACAGTCTGCCAAACATACTTCCTCTCACCCAACCAGTGAGTCAAACATGTTGGATGGAGATGTAGGAACCGGTAGGGGAAAGTGAGTGAGTACAAGGATAAGGATGCAACAGGTACAGTGGAGAGCAGGGAAGACATGTCCCACTGTTAATTAATAAAGCTTTTCAGGTCCATCTATGTGACCTTTATTTCCAACATTATTCATGTACTTTTATGCAACTTTTTATGGAGTTACAGCATCGGTAGATAAAGGAAGAGCAACAGACACATCTGCAAAGCATTTGACACTGTTCCACATAACACCCTGGTCACCAATCTGAGAAAAATGGATTTGATGGATGGACAACTTGCTAGATAAGGAATTGGCTGGATGGTCACAGTCAGAGAGTTGTGGTCAGTGGCTCAGTGTCCAAGAGGAGAGAGGTGATGAGTGGCATTCCCTCAGGGATCAGTGTTGGGACCAATGTTATTTTATATTTTTGTAGGTAACGTGGACAGTAGGATTGAGTGCACCCTCAGCAAGTTTGCGGATGACACCAAGCTAAGTGGTGCAGTTGACATGCTAGAGGGAAGGGATGCTATCCGTAGGGGCCTGGACAGGCTTGAGAGGTGGGCTCATGCCAATCTAATGAAATTCAACAGGCCAAGTGCAAGGTCCTGCATGTGGGTTGGGGCTATCCCAAGCACAGACAAAGGTTGGGCAGGGAATGGTCTGAGAGCAATCCTGAGAAGGATTTGGGAGTGTTGGTTGATGAAAAATTCAACATGGAGCCAGCAATGTACACTTCCAGCCCAGAAGGCCAACCATATCCCGGGTTGCATCAAGATAAGTGTGACCAGCAGGTCGAGGGAGGTGATTCTGTCCCTCTGCTCTTATGAGACCCCAGCCAGTGTACTGCACCAAGTTCTGGGGCCCCCAACACACAAAGGACATGGAGCTGTTGGAGCTGCTGGAGGACCTTCCCTGTGAGGACAGGCTGAGAGAGCTGGGGTCTTCGGCCTGGAAAAGAGAAGGCCACAGTGGACCTTATAGTGGCCTCCCAGTACCTGAAAGGAGTCTACAGGAAAGCTGGGGAGGGACTTTTTAGAAGGGCATGTAGTGACAGAATGAGGGGAAATAGTTTTAAACTGGAAGAGGGTAGATTCAGACTAGACAGTATGAAGAAATTCTTTTCTGTGAGAGTGGTGAGACACTGGAAAAGATTGCCCAATGAGGCTGCAGATGCCCCCTCCCTGGAAGTATTCAAGGCCAGGCTGGATGGAGCTCTGAGCAGCCTGGTATAGTAGGAGGTGTCCCTGCCTATAGCAGGGAGGTTGGAACTAGATCTTAAAGGTCCCTTCCAACCCAACCCATTCTATGATTCTATGTTTAACTTCTACACAAAAAATTATATATCCAAAATAATTTTCCCTTTATGGTACCTGAGAAAAAGCCTATTATGAATATCAAATAAGCCTAATACAAATATCATTACACCAGAATAATTAGTAAGACACTCCAAATCTAGAGAGTTATAGATGAGTGCAGACTGTTCTTGCTGCACCTGGTTCTTCTAATTTGAAAAGTTTTGCATGGCTAAGTACGTCCACACTAACAGACTTCATCAGTTATACAGCCAGGATCTCTTCTGCTTTTTTCTCCTAAAACTTTCCCCACTTGAGAAACTGAGCAATCTAGCCCACTCTTTTTAGTAAAAAATATTCACTCTTCTATAATGATAGCTATATTTATCAATATTAACTGATTATTTAGTTTTCTGTTTCTCAGTTAGATCCCAGGTCATCTGCATTCTCCTACTTCTTACTTGAAATAAATTAGCAGTGCAACATACACTACAGATTGTACTAAAATCAATCCAAGATTTCTCTGAATTCTCACATTAAACTGAAGAGGCAGCATTAATCCACTAAAGTAACCTTAAAAAAAAATACAAGGTATAGGAGAAGAGTTTGAAGTAGGATTAAGCAGAGACTAAAGTCTGTAGAACATCCTTCTACCTGCTTCCATACTCTCCTTACATGAAAAATACAGGTTGACTTCTCTTCAGGTACAAAGCTTAGAAGAATTCTAACAAATTCTAATCAGATTATCTCAGAGGACAAACTGATCTGACCTTTCAGTTCTGTTCCTAAATAACATTACACCACACATACAAGCGTGTGACCCAACTTGCTTCCCAGGACCATAAACATACCCTTCCTATGGAAGAGAGACTGCTGGATGTGGTCTGGTGCAAATGGCGAAAGTAAAACCCGTAACCACCTGAAAATGAAAGCAACAAAACAAACAAAAGCACTAAGAAGGTGTTAATGCATATAGCATTCAATAACACAGACAGCAAAAAATGTAAAGTAATCAGTAATTCCATTCTTTGTAAGTATTCCTGCACTCTGGATAACTGGAACTGCATAGCATCAGCAGTGCACGTGCATTACTGTTAATCTGACAGTGAGAAACACCACTGTTTTTTTGAACTGCGTTTTATGCTGCAGAACAGTTAGTCACACCTTTAAACATGTCTTTTTCATCTCTGCCTTGAGCATTCTCAAACTGATTATAAAAACAGACTTCTCAGGAACTGCCAGTCAGAAAAATCAGCCAAGTGCACTCAGGCAGCTTCTACTCATCCAAGGTAAGCAGTAAAAGCTGTCAGTGCACAAGTACATAGAATATATCGTGTCACTACATGCAGATACTGATAGCTTCCGTACACATGAAAAACCACTGAAGGGAAAACATTTTTTTTTCTAAAATTCTGTTAAAGATAGTTCCATTATACATCATCAGCAATAACTCTGAACTCCTTTTACTTGCTTTCTTATTTAATCAAAGGAATATTTGATGATCAGAATTCCAATAAGAAGGAACACCAGATATAAGATGTTTAACAGCTGTGTAAATGAAAGAAAACTAGGAATGCATTGCTTGGCAAACACTGTTTAAGTTCACCAGGTAACAGTGTTAATTAGTGCTTACAAAGCTAAAATAAGTCTAAATCATACTACTAAATATATAAGGTTGGAGAGGAAGTGGAGTTGCTTGCCTGTCCCGTGAGTGGTTGAAGACCCTGATCTGTCCATGACGGTAGATGAACTTTGAAATTGGGTATGGCTTTAAGGAGATGTGAAATGGAGACCAAGTTTCTTGTCGCTCAAATAGCTCTGGGTGATTGCACACCTGTAAGAAAGGGAGCACATCAGACATAAAGAAGAGATGAATTCAGGCTAATGCAGTGTTTACATCCCAAGACAACTATCACTACCGCTCACTCTAACATTGGCTAGAATTTCACAGCCATTCTGGTACATTTGTTCAAATTGAACACTGCATCATATATTTTCCTATTATTTCACAGCTATTCCCTCCCTTCCCCAAGTAAATGATGTCTTCAACAACCAATATGGAACCAGATGCAAGCAGCATTTGCCTGAAGCTCTTCTACCCCAACACTGTGCAACATTGCTCCAGAAAGACAACGAATCACATGAAAATTCGCATGCCTATGCCATAAGTTTTTTTATGTGATGTTTTCTAGAAGTTGTACTTTAGCTGTGAGTTAACAATGGAATATACTTTTAAAATTATTACTTAAAATAGCCTTACCTTCCTGAACTGCATGACTAGATTCATGAGACTACTAGTAGTGGTCTGTGCTTGCTGAGTAGTGCCCATTGAAGATTGCAAGAGGTCATCGATAGAGATTTTATTTTTCAGGGCTTGATACAACAGCTTCTGTCGACTTGTCTGCTGGCAGTACATAAGAATCTCAATCTGCAAAACAGTAATGAAGTTTCAGCTTTTTCTCTCTCAGAGGCAGAGCACGACCACATCAGTACAAAGAAGGGAAAACTCATATTAAGTAAATCTTAGTGTTCTCAAATATATATATACAGGCAGTTGTGTTCATATCTGTATTTCAGGATCCAGCCTGGAAAGCAATTAACCTGCAGCTGTGTTTCAGAAAGCTTAGTTAACAATATGAGACAGAACTTTACAAGTACATGAACACAACAAAGACAACAGTCCTAAGAAGCTGTTGAAAACACCAGCTGCAGCTGAACAGCTTAAATTTTGCCCTCAGTTGTGCTATTCTATTCTTAAATGTTACCAATTTGGAGTCATCATGAACAGATGTCAGGAACCCACGATAAAGACAACTAATAGGTCACATAATAACAGCGTTTATGAGAAGAGTTCCACTTTTGAAACTAACAAGTACATCAAAAAAAGCACGTCTCTTAGTCAGTAGTCCCAAAACCATGAGACACACTGTTCACAAGTCCATCCAGCACCACTAAGAAGAAATTACAACCCAAGAGAGAAGAGCCTGATGTTGCCATTATGCACATCTTGCTCAAGACAAGCAAGCAAAGAGTCCTAAATCTATGCCAAATTCTTCACGAAGTTCACCCAAACACTGCTGTATCAATCTCTTTCACCTCAGTGATGCTACTGTCACCTTAAACAGACTTATTTTTTACTTGTAATAGTGAATGCTTACCCCAGAAGAAAAGAAAAAAAAAGTGCATTATTTAGGGGTTCTTAAGTTACATTCATGCCTAATGACATTACTGGAATGTGATGCCAGAAGCAGGTCTGTGAAAAGTCTACAACCAAATTTCAGGTTACACAGGGACGAATTAGCCTGTAAAAAGCAGATGTGATAACAGAGCTATGACAGTAAAGCTGAAATACTCCAATTAAGGATCAATACTTTTTCTCACCTTATCTGACAGTTCATTTTCCACATCTTTCTTGATTCTTCTCAACATGAAAGGCTTCAGGATCATGTGTAAGCGGGATAGCTGGTCTGAAACACAAGGGAAGAGGAAAAATGAACAATTACTTCACCAGAGAAGGAAACCACATTGTGTCCTACTACTTACTGCTCAGCCAGTTCCCTAATATGAGTTCTTGAAGCACACAGGTTGGGTTATTTAAGAACTCTTAAAACCTTCACCTTAGTGGCAAGATCCAACTGTGCTGTGTTCTATTCCAATCAAAAATTACCTATATTATGTAGCTAGATTTTTCAACATAATTATCCCTTGAAACTTACTGTGAAACTTATTCTTTTTTTCCAGCAAATAATTTTTATACTTCTCTTCTGAAGCTCAAAAGGCATTCAGTGCTTTCTATCCTTTTAATTTAGAGAGCTTGTAACATATTCTCAAGGCCTACAAAACAATGGGCTCTAAAGAAATTTACAAATAATTTAAGTATTTGTTCTCCTGCATTGCTAAGTAGGAGGATTAGACAGGTATCAAGCCAACACCTTCACCACGTGTTTTTCTGTTCACTATGCATGATACAGTCAGAAACAAAAATTTTGACAAATGGTGGACATACATCACAATGTTCCAATCTGACTAATGTACACTCTGCTTTAGAAGACATTCCCCATAGACAGAATGAGAGAAAGTTTATTCATTGGTAGCTGGAAAAGACAATAGATTTTCAATACACAAAACCACCATAATCAAACACTGCACTCACTTTCATCAATGGCAGATTTGTTCTCTGCATGACTTTCTATGTCCTTAGAAAACCACTCATTGAACTCTTCATGGGAATCGAACAATGTTGGCATGATAAAATGCAGCAGGGCCCACAGCTACAAGGCAGAAGAAAAAAAAGAGCGTAAGTCATCCTGCTGTGGGTAAGGTAACTAAGGATCCCACATTTTTGCAGCTCTTTATGAGCTAAGTCACTTTACTTATTTGTTTAATTGAGAATCACAGGGTTGGAAGGGACCCCAAGGATCATGAATCTCCAACCCCTCTGCCACAAGCAGGGCCACCAACCTCCCCATTTAATACTAGACCAGGCTGCCCTGGCCTTGAACACCTCCAGGGATGGGGCATCCACAGCCTCTCTGGGCAGCCTGTTCCAGCACCTCACCACTCTCTCTGTAAAGAACTTCCCTGTGATATCCAACCTAAATCTCCCCTCCCTCAACTTAAAACCATTTCCCCTTGTCCTGCAGTTATCAACCCTTTCAAAGAGTTGATTCCCCGCCTGTTTGTAGGCACCCTTTAGGTACTGAAAGGCTGCAATGAGGTTACCCTGCAGCCTTCTTTTCTCCAGGCTGAACAAGCCCAGCTCTCTCAGCCTGTCCTCATAGGGGAGGTGCTCCAGTCCCCTGATCATCTTTGTGGCCCTCCTCTGAACCCCCTCCAACAGTTCCCTGTCTTTCTTGCACTGGGAGCTCCAGACCTGGACACAGTACTCCAGATGGGGCCACACAAGAGCAGAGGGGGACAATCACCTCCCTGTCCCTGCTGGCCACCCACATTCTTCCCCCATTCCAGATATATCAACATCACTAGAAAGCAGTGAGAAATGTACAGCAATAACTTCAGCCTGCAGAAGCAGCAGCTACCAGAGCTATTTTTTATCCTGTAACCTAGGCATTACTATCAGATATCTCCAGTTTTACTGTTATTTGACTATGCCCTAACAGGTCTGATCCTAGGGGGTTTTCTTGGCAAATGGTGTGCAAGACATGATCCCGCACAAAGACAAGAGGTTTCTCAACTGCTCGCATATATTTAGGACATAATCTTGTGATAAAGCAAAGCCAGCTCTTGTGAGCCTATGAATACCTCAGCCATTGTGTTCTGGATTGGGGTCCCCGTCAATAACAATCTATTTCGACACTGGAACTGCAGTAGGATCTTCCAGCGAACACTGATGAATAAAATTGAGAAAAAAAATCATGAGAATTGTTTTTGTAGGATATAAAAAATAAAGAACTTTAAGACCAGCTGCTTCTAGTGACCTTCCCAAATGTTTTGTTGGAGGTCATTGGGTAATAACATCACAGCTACTGCCCAGTCTTTCAAAAGGCAATTACAGAAGGAAGTAGCCTTTTACAAAATACAAAGGAATGAACATCATTTATTTTATTTATCTAACCATGTTTTAACTAACTTTTAATACAAATGATAATAAACTCTTATCACCAGAATAATTAACTTCCCAAGAGAAACAGTTATTATCAATTGTAATCTTGTGTATTTTTCAGACTTTACAACACAAAGTCCATGGGACACTGTGGAAAGAGTATTGAGCTGTATGTTACAGTCTTGGAGGGGCAGATTTCAGTCTGAATGAGTCTCCATCCAAAAGAGTCTCCAGCATATGGAAATGGAGATTTGATGTGTACAGTGGCAATATGGGGAAAAGTTGTGAGAAAGCATCTACAAAAGTAGAAATGGACACATCTCAATACAGAAATGAAAATAAAGCTTTCTGGCACAGAGTATTATGAAAAAGATTGGGCTTTACTGCAACTGACAGTATTCACAGGGTTCTAATTTCATTAGAAGGCCTGGGAGTGCCATCGAAAAAGCAATAAAAATGATGCATTTAATGGAGAAACGTAAGCAATATGCATTAAAGACTACAGACTGTTCATGTGGCAGAATTGTATGAGTAGCTAAGACAAAGGTGAACAGTATTTAATACCATTTTCTTTCACTGTTCTGTACTTCATTCATACTTCTGTTCCACAGTTAGTCTTTAATTACGTTAACATATTTGGAAGAGGAATATTGTGGATCATTCCATTGTCACAGAGTTGGAGTTATGTACACACTTAAACTATGTTAAGACACTTGAAGTCTCCTATCTGTTTCAATTGTAACAATCAGTTTTTGTACTTTCTATATTCCTCTACAAGACTGATAAAAAGAAAAGATTTTTTTCCAGTTAACTTATTACCTGGAGCTACTCTTGAGCGCTTGTGCTTCATCCAGCACCATATATTGCCACTTCACTCGCTGGAAATACTTCACATCCTGTACTACCAGTTGGTAACTGGTAATCACCACGTGGAAAGGAGCATCCTGAGTGTACAATGTCTTCTATAAACACGAAATAAAAAACAAATGTCCATATAACATAAACACACTGTGAAGAGTTCACCTGCCCATGCTGTAATTTCAGACTTCTGTTTCATAATTTTCTCTCATTATTACTTCATTTTTCCTCAACTGACTTTTCAAAGTATCTACAGCAAGGTTATTCAACTAGTGGATCTGAACTTCAGTCCATTAGTCCCTGATCAATTTCAGATGCTTCTTAATGCACCAAACAAGAGCTAGGTGTTGAACTCTACAAAACGCTGTTTACTTATATTAAGTTGGGAACAATCTGACAGGTCTGCAGGGATGCTAGCCTTGGGCATTCTGACTTAAATTATCCAACTTGAATAAACAGTTCCTGACATGAAAACAGCCTGCTTAATTTTAGGGCTCTAGTTTCTTCAACTAACATCATACTATCCTAAATTGTGGCGTACTGTGTTGCTCTCTAATAAAACATTGGTCTTCTACCCCACTATATTAACAAAGGTTACCACACGGACGAAGAAACAGCACTGTTATTCACACACTGCTTAGCATAATGAAGTGTATTAGTGGTTTGTTTTACTTTGCACAAATAACCAAGATGGTCCAATCACACAGGCGTGCCAAATTTACCTGACTCCAGAACTTCCTAATGACCTTTCTATCATGAGGATTTCCCCAGTAAGGTAGCACCTGGAACAGTATAAAAATATAAAAACATTACTTTTCAGATAAAGATGTACTCGCTTTAGAATTTCATACTATGCATTCTACAAATCAGAAAGACAGCTTTCCTCAAAACCAAAAGGGAATGATCTTTCTTATCATGCAGAAAAAAAATCGGAAAGTACTCAAAAAATTCTTAGAAACGTAATTCCAAGAAACAATTATCATTTGTCTTATGCCTAATATAAAGACAGCATATCTTGATCTAAAAACGCCCTGAAGAATGTTTCTAAAAATGAAAACAGATACGTTATTTATGGAAGAAACAAGTCTCTGCATAACTAAAAGGCTTGCTCTCCTGCTTAATTTTCCCTGTTGTTTCTTCCTAATAACACCAAGTCTGTTGGATTCGTACTGTTTCCAGAGATGAAAGGTAACACATCTAGTCTAGGCATAACAAATAAAACGATTTTCAGAAAGTCAGTAACAATACAAAAAATCTGGCCATTCATTTATAACTCAGAGTTTCATGGGTCCTGTTGCTCAGAACAGATCTTTGCAGTGAACAGAAAGCAGCCAGAGTTACTAATTGTGCACTGCCATCGTCTGTCTGATGAAAGGACTACAATGCAAGACTCAAAGTCAGGAGTGCTGGTTTCTGAGCTTGTAAAACATCTCCATCCTCCAGCAAGCAAGCTCTAAGTTGCTATACAAACGACATGCCTTTGGATGAACATTCTTGCAATCGTTGTGAAATAAGGATGTTATTAAAAAAAACCATGAGATTAACAAACAAGTTAAGCCTTATATTTTACATACTTTACATATTCTGCCATGGACCTGAAGAAATGAATTCACTGTGATTTACCATAAGAATAAACGACTATGAGTTTCAACATGGTAAGAAGCAGGAACAAAACTGGTTCAAAAAAATTGGTAATACTTATAATCAGTAACAATCAAAAGCTTAAAATTTTTTTTAAATAAAATTTGTTCCAGGAACGTGGCATTCTTACGCTAACCCACAAAACAGCTATGTAATAACAGAAACAGGGAAAACCATGCTTACAATAATAATAATAACTATTATTATTATTTATTAAAAAAAAAAAGAAAAAAAAAAGATAGCTCTCTGTTCTCAAGCATCCTGACTGCATTTTTGAAATATTTGCTGTATTGGAGAAAAAGCATGGAAGTTACTCATCTATTCTATATAATTAACTGGTCGGAGCAAATTACGCGAAGTAAATAGACAGTGTTGGCTAATCATTCTCATGTTTTCTACTCCAGGTTTTAAGCTAGGATCCCTACTGTTTTGGAACCAAGAAATGAAGTATTACTTACAGCAATACTTCCAACTCTTTTCCTACACCTCATTAAGTAGCCACGGCATTCAAACAATCAGCCTGGGCGTTACTGGTATATTGGCTGCTTATAGTTGTAAGTGTGTGGTTTTTATTTGTTGGCTTTATAAATTCTTTGTAAGAATTAAAATTACTTGTGCTTACAAAACCTAATCATCATCTCTTCATAACAAACATTAACTTGTCAACAACTCAAACATTTAAACCATAATCTCTTCTTTGCAGCTGTAACCATAAGCTTCTGAACCTGTCTACCTTTAATTCTAAAAGGCTGTTTCTGTTTCAGTGATATATATTCCTTTCAAACCTTCCTTCCAAACACTCAAATGTTTTTCACTGGACTACAGGTAAGCAGCTTGTTTTTCCAGTAACTGACTGTTTCTTGCTTTCTACATCACTATTTTCTCACAATTACTACACACCTGAAGGCTATGACTTATTTTCCTGTTAGCTTTTTGTTCTTACCTAATTGTGCTTCACTACTCTCTCTTTTCTTTCTTCCCAGTTGCTTGTCTATGGTTCTTCTACTTTTCTGTAAGAACACTGTCTCTCATTCTGGTTTGTTTAGAATTCTGGTTTTATCTACACAGTCTTTGTCTTATTTAACCAGATTGATAGGAATGACTGAAAACACTGCTCTGAAGAGGATGCATAAGACTGAAACATTATTCTTGGGTCGACTGCCAGGACCACACACTATAGAACTGAACATCCACCCCTTGCTTACTTCAATTCCCTCATCAAGATGGAGTCCTGATGCAAAATGAAAATCATATGATTCAAGAAGGAATATTTTTTAGATATTTTAGATAAATGAATACTCCAGAAAGTCAGGACAGTGGAGAAATATCAGAACCAGACTCATTACAGAATTTGAAACTGCAAGATAATGAGGCACCCAGATGCGCCAAAGAATTCAGGAATACAAACAGTTTGCTTTTGAGAATATCTAAAAGAACTGTCTTGTATGTTCTTATTACCTTAAATTTAGGAACAAATCTGGCAAACTCCTGGTGCCAGTTGTTAAGAGTAGATGCAGGCGAGATTATTAAAAAAGGTCCCCAGATGTTCTCTCTCTGCAATATACATATTAAAAAAAAAATAAACAGACATCATAAATTAATTTGGGGGAAGGAACACGGAAATAGTTTCATACAGTTTTGCAACTGCTAAGTAACAGTTGCTATGTAAGACAGAATTATACACAATGTAATAAAACCTCCTTCCAGAACAGCAGGGTGACACAGAATCAAACAGAGCAGACCTAATATCTAACACAGTCCTCCTTCAGTACACCTAAGTTGTTCCCAGAATAAATACCACCACTGTGAACTGCCTTGTTCATTTTTTTTTTTTTTTTTTTCAGAAAGTTGCCACCTGCACCTTACTAACATTTCGGGAAGGAAAAGACACCAGGTGGAATTGGAAAGCTTTGCTCCATCACATAACAACAGAATAACTTCTTGTGAAAAAGAAGATGAATAATTAGTGTATTGGTGTAAGCTGGTCAGTGCAAGGGGAAGCAGGAAATATTAAAAGCCGTATGAATTCTTCCAAAAATCTCAAGTTCCAACAGAGAGACAAGCCTATCCAGTTGTTATCCCTTTTATACACGTGAGCTTAAGAGACTTCGGCTCTGCATCCTTCCAATGTCATTGTTGATAGTACCATCACAAGTACATCAAAACCAACATAAACAAACACACACGATGGCCAATCATTGGTCACTAATCCAGCTACTTCTGCTCTCAGTACCACCAGCTGATACCTCCAATTTAAGGCAAGTAGCTGCATGCCATTTCTTTTTTCCCCCTAAACTTATCTACCTCTTTCTATACATATATTTCTGCAGTAAGAAGAAAGCTCACATTGCTTTTTTTTGTTTGTTTATCAGTCCTGGCACTGAAGAATCACTGTGTCTCAAAACAAAACAAACAAAAACAAAAAAAACCCCCACAATTAAGTATGGAAATCCATGCTAATTGTCTTGAAGTTTAGAATTTGGGCTTCACTTCATTCTACAAGTGATTCTGATTCATAAATGTCAGTGAATCATTAAGTCAGCAACTTGTTCTCTCACCAAGCTTTTACAACCAGTGCATATGAAATGATGTTACTCTGTGAATAAATGGAAATCCTATTTTTATATAATTCTACATAATATTATATATGTATGTACACACATATATAGTCATATACACACAGGAACTTTTAAAGGTACAACTTAATAACAAACGGAAATGCCATAGATGAAATGACTTTTAAAGCACTCAAGCTGTATAATCTAGAATTCACTCCAAATGTGAAAAGTACACATCTATCAAGAAGACCAAGAAAAAGCTATAATCCACTTACTTCAGCCAGGTGTGCAAGGAGAGCAATACTTTGTACTGTTTTACCCAAACCCATTTCATCTGCCAGGATTCCATTGATGCCCTGCAAAAAATCCATGAATTTACACTTTCGTCTTACTACGTTTTTATCCATGCAGGACTTGAAAAATGAAGCAACCTACTTTCTTTTAGGTCTTCTACTGAGAGATATTTCATATCAACTGCACTTTCATTCATTTCTAGGTCATATTTTTTTTTCCCCTCAGTCTATCTGCACATCACAATCACACTGCAAACTGGATATGCACAGAGCAATGCCATCTGCAATTTACAATCTGCCCAAAGCCTGAAATTGTATGCAATTCTGAGAAGCAGAAGTCTCTTCAGTGTATAATCTAAATGATAAGCAGTTCTGTAAATATCCACATAAGGAATCTTGAAATTTATGTTCTGTTCAAAGTCAAGGATTCTGATGGGTGGTTTACATAATATTTTCATTTCTTCTAAAAATATTGCAGACGCAGTATATGTGGTCTATTTTTAAAACTAGTTATGTTTTTGAAAAAGTTTCCCCTAATTACTTAAATTATCCTAGAAGTTTTAAAAATCTGCAAGATGTACTAAGATACCTGTTCATATAGGTTTGCCAGCCAATTCATGCCTTTCAGTTGGTAACCTTTCAGTTTCCCATTGAAAATAGTAGGCTGTGGAATATCTTCCCCTGCCCGGATAGATGGATTTGCTAAACTGTAGCTCTCCCCAAAGCCAGTACCAGACTTGTTAGCAGCCCGTAAAGCAGCTGCTCGACTTTCCTTTGCATCTTCATCAAATGATCTAGTCTAAACAAGAAAAGGAAAATACATGAAGATTATGAACATGTTAACAAAAACTGTATAGTAAAAGGCTTTACTCTTCACATTAACACACATTATGTTTGCCAGAAATTAATGGAAAACAAACCTGTTCCCAGATATTTTATCTTTTTTCCACTTGTTTGAACAAAGAAAGGGGCAATGAAATCAAACTAACCTACTAGACTTGGCTGCTATTAAAGATTCTGGCTTTAGTACCTTTACCAATTACTCTGCTTTTTCTTTTACTTCATGGATTCAAAACATACATACCCGGGCTTGGTGAATCTGGTAAGCATCCTCAGCATTCTTCAGAGCTTGGGCCTTGTAATAGTTACTATCTGAAAACAACATCTCCATGTTAGAGCTTTGCAGAATCAACAACCCAAGTTAAAAAAAATAAAGAAATCTGTTAAGCTTCAGTAATTACAGATGCACTTCTTATACAGAAGGAATTTTATGCTTGACATTGTATATGTGATTAATAATATAAATAGCACAGTAAAATCAAAAGGGCACAGGAAGGATTGTGGATGAATTGCTTACCATAATCTTCCTGGGTGATGTTGACCACTACTCCTCCTCCAATATCAATCTGCCTTTGGGTAGAGCTGTCTTCCAGTTTGCGTAGGATTTCCTCCTGTATTCCATCATGCCCAATATCTCGCTTACGACTCATAAAATGGGCATATAATTCAGTTTGTGTGATCAGGAAGTTAAGTTTTCTCTGCTGCCTTTTAGCCTAAGAGAAAAGTGTTTACCAAGATCACAGGTTAAAAAAAAAAAAACAACAAAAAAACCCACCAATAAAACAGAATAAAGATTTAGTGATTAAAATATGGTTAAAAAAAAAGTTTTAATCTAATAAAATGACAACCTATCTAGGTTTTACTATGCACATCATTTTGATTAAAAAATGCCAGGACATCAGTTGTATGCAAAAAACTAGTCACCACCATAACCACCTGTATTAAAATTGAATATTGATACAAATGAAATATTATTTTAAATTGTATAATCATGGCAAAGAATACCATAATCTCCCAAAAGAAAGATTAAAGGTTTTGTTTATGCTGAAAAACTTAAAAGATTAATAAAAAAGAAACAGCAACAGAGAGGTATATGGTAAAAGAACCAAAGAGTTAAAAAACTCACAATACAATCATAGCAGGTAACTCTAATGTTCTATTATTTACAAGTAAGGAGAACAGTGAAAGAATATATTAAATGTATACATCTGAGATATTATAACTGTCTGGGCTTCAGCAAGATGTTGCAGAAACTCTGTTCATTCTTAGGGTCTGGCTAAAAAGTGCTATAGTAAAACTTGCCTAGTGATTTCAGCCACACAATGTTTGCAGATTTGCAAGAATTGAGAGAAACAATACATAAAAGCAATACATAAAAGCATGATCTGATGATTTTAGCATTAAACTAAATAGAAGGTATTCTGATGATTCAACATCAGCTCACCACTGAACACTGAAGGTAGAACTGTAAATCCACCAGAGAATTTTGGCAAGATTTTTTTTTCTTAAATTCAACCCTTATCACTAAGAGAGTCAAGGAACCAAACACTTTGCCAAAACGAAGTGATCACAGAAAAATTCTCAACTCTGTAGGCCCCCAGAAGTCCTGCTCACATTCTCTGCAAGTCTTGATGCTAGTTTACAGCAGAAAAATAAAATATCAATGTGAATGAAAAGATGACTTGGCCTTTGTATTCAAAAAGATGTACAAATCATCACAAAAGGCCAGCATGAACTAACACTGAGTTATGCATGCATCAGTGAGACACACGGTGTTCATTTAATCCTTTATTCTACTTCAATCACTTAAAATTTACCTGAGTAAAGAACTCAGGTAGTTCAAAGGCTTCTTATAATCTTTAAAATAGCAAATAAATGCACGCAATATTATTGAAACAGAATAAACAAATGAACATAATAGCCCAGATTTAGAAACTCAAATTATTTAGTCATTTCTGTGTTTACTGAAGAAATTAATTATCAGCAACCTGTGTTTTTGCTTTACCTCTCTCATCTCCTCATCCAGCTTGCGTTGCTCCAGAGCCTCTTTCTCAGCCCGTTTGCGATGCTCTTTTTCTACCTTTTCATATTTTTTCCAATAGAGAAGCATCTCCTTGGTAAGACGACGTGCCCGTGGTAGAGTTTCCTTACAGTTTTTCTGGGCCTGGAGAGCAGCTCGACGTACCTCTCTCATGCACTGATGAGCAAGCTAGGGAGAAATAAGGTTTGGATGCAGATGAAAGGTGAGCAGCTTTAAAGAAAACCAGCAATGCACATCACGTTTAATCGCAAACAAATCTGATCCTTCAAAAGAGAAAAACTATGGTACTTTGCTCAGCAGTTAGACTTTTGAAATGATGAGAGAGAACATAAACGTCCAACAACTTCCTGAGATGCATACAAAAAAACAAAACTAAGACAGCTGCAGCACAGCACGGCACTTAAAGGGATTGATCTGGTGGGTAGATCTTTCAAAGGTACTCCAGAGACCAGAGTTTGAGGTCTGCCTGCAACTGTGACTCTACTCCAGACATTCTTCAGTTGCACACACTCTTTCTCACTGTTTGAATAAGGCTGCTGCAACGGCAATATTGGTAGCACACAATCACATTCACATGTTAATATACTGAAAAGTGGGGGAGTATCCTACAATTTTCCTACCATCTCATAAAGAAGCATACTAGTGTCATTTTTCAATCCAGCACATATAAATTAATGTCATTGTCATAATGGTCAAAATTGCTGGGTTTGATGTTTGTGACAGTTGTTTTTTTCCCCCACTGAAATTTGTACATCAATAATTCCATTATACAGAGATTGCAAATGATCAAGTAAAATGAAAGCAAAGGAAAAAAGAGTGTAATTTCGAACCTTTTAAGTCTGCTGCATCACTCACTTGCTAAAATACAGTTTGTGATATCTACAAATACAATAATCACAGAATATTTGTCCAGACATCAAAAAGAAATCTAGCCTCTGATAAGGACGCCCACAGTGAAGTAGATCCTGTTTTCTGTATTCCTTGCAGAGAAAACATTCCTGTTCCTACTAATGTATATATGGAACATAATATTTCCTATGTCATCTTGTGTCTGATGATCATTAGCCATATACTTGATTATTTTTTCACTAGGCATATATATGAATCACACACTTGAGCATAACACTTTAAAAATGCTTTAAATGCATTACCAAATGTTCCTACAATAAAGTCTTCTAGGTAGAAATAGTGACACTTCTCAGAGACTACTCAAATGAGGAAATAAATTCTTTTGGCAATCACTTAATCAAAAAAATTGTTCCGTTTTTAATCCCAGTTCCTATGTAAGTTTGCATAAATTAACACATTTTAATGCTTCCAAGAGCCCTTTTGATTTACACATGAATACTTACAACAGCAAATTCTAGCTACTGGATAAATGGGCAGTTCAAAAGCTAATGAAGTGTACTGAAGTCTTTAATTTACTGTATCAAAATCAGTGAATAAAAATGAATATAGTAAATCTTACGAAAGCCAAAATGAATACAGTAAATCTTAGGAAAGCCAGTGGGATTTGAGGACACAAATTTATGTTGCTTGTTTCCTCTACTGCTTATGAAACACACCAATATGATACATTTAAAAAATGAAAAGCCTCATACAAATTATTTACGTACAGCTCTTTCTCCTGTACTGTCCTGCTAGAATCATCAGTAAGAAACAAAGAGATTACAGTTTGCTTATTACGTTCAATACAAGTATCAGTATCAAGCTGAACACTTACCTTTTTGCTGTTGGTAAGGAAAAGGTTGCGCGCTGATGCTTTTTGTTTGTATGCCTATAAAGGAACACATCCTACAATTACTTGATGGCTAATAGCTGCACACTACTTGAGACAATCACTATCCAGTCTCTAGCTGTTAGATCTGCCAACCTCAGTCATGCAGTCCATTGCATAATTGAGTACATGTTCTGTAACTATTTTTGGTTCTGATGGAAATACCTTCCCTCCTTCACTGTCCAACACATGTGTAAATGCATTCCTGCTCCTGAAGGAAGTATTTAAAACATCCCCTTTTTCAGGCTTTTTCTTTAACTACTACTTCTGCAAAGCAGGATAATCCTATTCCACTGTCAACACTGAAACAAACAGAAGATGTTTCCACTGTTCCCCAAAGATAGTTAGAGTTAATGCAAATTATGTTATTCACATGAACAAAATCATCTGAAAAAATAACACTGCACATACCCTTTGCACAGTTCCTACATTCATAAAGAATGATACAGCTACCAGTTATACTCAAGTCACTAGAAATTCAGTCTGTTAAAATATATTCTAAAGAGCCCATTGTAAGATTCGCTGATCATATCCCAGAGAACAAATGACAGTGCATCCAGCTATTTCAAACATGCCCAAAGCTTGTCCTGTAAATGACACGAAGCTTTCCCTAGGTTGTTTCTTACGTTTCAAAATACATGTATGCTGTGATGACTGAAACATGCCTCTCCTGAACTTAAACACTGGTCCAGAATATTGGTTTGCTTTACGTAGGCATCCTGCAGATTTGTGGAAATATCTCCTTGAGTTTATTGTACTGTTCATGGAAAAGGGTTAGATAGCCAAATCAAAGAAACACACTGCATGATCCACTGGTGTTAAGAAATCAGAACTGCACTTTGCTTACAGATTGCAGAGTATCAGTTCGGCCATTACTGACCAGCAGAAAATCACTGTTATTTTTTATCCCACTTTCTTGTTATCATCAGTGATGTAGCGCCATTAACCAAGCTCACCTTTGGCAACTCCTTTTTAACAATGCTAAGCCACACTTTTCGCCGACGAGCATTAAGTTGTTCAATAGACATGTGCTTTTTCTTGGACCCAGGTGGTGGTGTGTCATGAGAAAACTTGGCAAAAACTTTGGTCTGGTGATGGTGGTGTTCCGGTGACTCCTCCGAAGACAGATCTTCATCCCGCCTCCTCTTTTTCTTTACTTTTTTCAACTTTCCTGCAAGATAGATCATTAAATCTTTTTTTTTCCCTATTCTGTGGACCTTTTGCATTTAGTCTGACATCTCTCCTAACTAAGCTATCCAAGCCACTTTGTGTGTGCAACCAACAAAAAAGTCAAACCTACCTATGCCTGCCAGTACTAGTACCATGCACTTATTTCTTCATGCTTTTGCAACTAACTCCTATGGCATGTTTCCTTTCATGAGGAAGTATTCATTAGGAATTAAAATATCTGTGATCTGATACAATGCTTCTTGCCCTGTGGTAAAATTTTACTTACAGACATGTAAAGGATATATAAAAGTAACAACATCAGCATTTGGTAGATGTCTCAAATCATCATGAAAGAGATTGATAGGTTATCATTTATTGTGAACACAACTTTCAGAGGAAACTACCAGATGCTGTTATCAGATAATAAATACACTATTCAATAGTATGCAAAATCAGGACACTACAAGATTACTGGAAAAAAATACAGCATTAAAGGAATTTACAGAAAGAGAGGAAGGATAGAGGGAAGCCCAAAACAACCTTCTTAAAACACAGCTAGAACATGAGTGTTTGCAATACACAGAATTCACCTTACACTGACAGTTCACAGTCTTCTCTTCCTGCTTTCTACAGATGCTGCCAGCTCAGCCATGAAAGAAAACTGCACTTCCTGGCAAACATGCAGCTGAAAAACTCCAGCTGAGAGGTTACAGAAGTAATTCTATTTTAATGCATATTGGACATCAATTCTCAGCTCCCTCTAACTTCCAGAAAACAATCTCATTTCTGGAACAATTACACATTCTGGAATAACTGTATCAGTTACTGAGTAGTTTCTTATATTTTTCTAAGAACTATCAAGTTTCAAAGGAAACAAGCAAATGGATCATGATACGCAGCAATATTTATGGATTCTGAAACATAGCCAAGCAATACTGAAATAGCTATGAAGTACTTATTGCATGTCTCTCATTCTGGATCCAGAGGTCCACAAAGAAAATTTAAAACCATGAACTCTCAATTTGCACCATCTTTTTTCACCCTAGTTCTCTAGAGGCCAGATAAAGCACAGTATTTTACGACTTCTCTTTGATGGAATCGGCCATTAGCCTTCCATCCAAAACACAAAGGTCTGGAACGTGTTCAAACATGAACATTTATCCAAAGACAATAATAAAAGAAAGGAGTTTAAATCACAGCAACTACCTAAAAACACAATGGGAGTGACTTTACCTTTCAATTTTTTCTCTTCTTTAAACTTCTTTTTCTTGGGCCCTAGCAGGTGGCGCTGCTGCTCATAGTAAGGATCGTACGTAGACAGCAGTCCTGCACTGTAGTACTGGTATTGCTGCAACTGAAGTAGTTGTAAATGAGCACACTAACACAAACCAGATACGGCAGATAACAGCAATAGCAGGTAAATGAGTTCACATCTTGATTGTAAATAAGACATCAGTAAATGTACTACTCCATATTTAGCACTGTTATCGAGGATTGGAGAGTCCAAAGTGAAACCACTTGCCCACAGGTGGCCCCTGAGTTCTACAGGAGGAACCAAACCCACTCAGTCAAATAAGACAGGAAAAGCGTGCAGCGAAGCTCACACTTTCAAAACATACCACTACATCATTTTCCATACAGGTGCTGCCCAGCAAAACAGCACATTACATGCAACAGTCCAATCAAGGACTTCCTACTTGTTTTGTTTGGATTCCCAAGTTACATACATGTCCTACTTTTATCACATGAAAAGATATCAAAGGACAGGTTTAGGTAAAAGGCATTTAAAAGATTTCCACACAAACAAATCAAACATTCAGGTTATCTTGCAAAAGTAGGTGACCAAGGAATTTGGAGATTATAAAAAAATGTAACACATTTCAAGTGTTATTCAACTAAAATACTAAAGAACTACATACAGGCTATACACAAACATAAAAATTATGACCTTTGTGGAAGCTGGGTGTATGAGTGTTTGTGCAGCTACATGGTATTTCAGGAAGCCAATACAATCTGGGTTGAAAAGATAATGACTGAACAAAGAAAAGAAATGGACAGAAAGAAAGACTTGCGTGGAAAAAAAATTTCTTCACTCTTCTGGAGAAATCTGAAGCAGTATAAAACAAAATGTAAAATGTTTATTTCATACACATTGTCTGATAGCAGAACAGGATGATTTTCTTCATCTGAGACCCACTTTCGGCTGCAATTCAAAGCAGTTTTTTTGTTTTGTTTTGTTTTTTGTAAATGCTCTTACGACTCAATACATTATTAGAAACAAAGCAGTCAAAATTTGGCACAGTGTTAAGAAAATTAGAAATGCAGCAGATATTTTCTTAGAAGGAAGAGATTAAAAGAAGTGGATGCAAAAAGAAAATCTAAAATAGAAAAGGAAGGTATGAAAACAAGAAAGGCAAGTAAAACCCCAAAGAATTACAGAAAGCACTAAGGAAGAATACAAGGAACTCCCTTTCAAAAAGATAAACATCATCCCTTTGATTGCAGCCTCAATGGTGAGGCAAACGTACTGCAGTAGGTTTAAGTATACAATTTTAATCCTGAACAGCAGCGATCACCTGTATTAAAATCTAAGCCACAGCATCTCAGTTTTGTTATGTACTGTTTGAACATTGCATTCTAGCATCATTTTTGCTCTAATGAACACAAGAGTGTTGTAGAAGCTGTATGTACACATGCATCCATACTATGTATGTAAATTGTTGAGAGATTCTTAGCATAAGGTATCAATAGCTTTTCAATCAGTACAGAATTATTAACCCTTCCCTGAAACCGACATTAGACTGTTCTAGTCTACCAAACAATTTTCTAATCCACAAAATACTATAAATTTTCAGAAAAAATGTGGAAGTAGTTAAAATAATGCAACTATAATGCAAAATAATGTAATAATGCAACAAGGAAAAAAAGAAAATGAAGGAAATATGGAAGTTCTGGATTTTTACCTCTTTGTCTTTGCTGTATTTACTTTGATGTAGTTTCTTATATTTGTGTAATCGCAGCATATTGTGAAGCTCCTCCCTTGAAAGAGAAAATTCTTCTTCATCCTCTCCATCCTCATCACTTGGAGAATCTGTGTCACTGGAATCATCACTCAGAAGGATACTCTAACAACAATAAATAAAAATAAAATTAGCAATAACAACTCCCTATACTGCATTGTTTATTCTTGCAGAATGCTCTTGGGCCTTTATCTAGTAACACTTAGCCTTTACAAAGTGTCTTCCCTCTGAAATGCCTGAAATGGAAAAGAGTTTTCTGATCTACAGTGCTGTTCAGTATCTAATCAAGTAAACTTTTTTTTTTTTTTTTTTTTTTTTAATCTTCAGAGAGGTACAGTTCTGTTAGCTTAGTGAAAATTAAGTCACTTTAAAACCCACTGCAACTGCCTGTGGTCTCAAAAGGCTCTTTCTAGCAGTGAGAAAAGCCAGGATATAAGCAAGGGCATTTTACAATGTATGGTTGCAGGTGCTTTGCTACCTCATTTGTACTACTTGTCCTTCTATTCTCCCACTGCACCACTTGCACAAGGTTTGGCTCTTGCTTGACCTCTTGGCAACCTGTTTTTACTAACTAGAGAACACTGCAGTACAATGAAAGGCAAAGATGGCACAGTGCCACTGTTCCACTCTCTCCTTCCTCCCCTCATTTGGATTTGTACTGACTTCATCTTACAAACAAATTTTCACCTCAATCTCCAGTGTCCATTTAATACATTTCATAAGCTCACTTTAATTTGGACATAGTACTAAAATTTCTTAATGCTTCTAAATGTATATTCACTGTGGTATTTTACCAAAAAGCTGCTGCTCACCAAAACTGAAAACTGCCTACCATCCATTTTGCTACACAATGGAAATGGAAGCCTTAAATGCATAGAGACTATAATCCTATTTTGTTCCACCAAAGATCCAATACAATACTTACTACTGACTATCACATACTTCTCTTTCTTTCCCTTTCTAACATGAGAAACCTCTGTAGAATGCCTTTTTTGTTTTGGTATCTTTCATGCAGAAAGAAAACAAAACAACAAAAAAAGCCCTTATTTCCTCTTAGCAAGGGACACCGGAGTAACTCCAGTTACTTAAAAAAGTGCAGCAAAAAACAGACCAATATAGTACGAGATTCAAGAAGTCCTTTAAAGATTGTTTTCAGCAATGTATCAATTATTACTATATCTCTATCTCTTCTCCTTCAATATGATACTTTGCATCAATTAAGCTGCACCACATCATTTCAGGCAGCTCTCAAACACAAGCAGTTGCTGTGTATGCTGCGTCAAAAGAAGTACTTTACTTTGACTGTGGCCAAAGAGCATGGAAGATGCATCAGGAAAAAAATGTCTAATGCTCTGGCTTTATTAAGTTTATTAAGTGCCATGGAGGTTCAAGTTGGATATTAGGAACAATTTCTTTTCAAGTTTTCATGAAAAGGGTAGATGTGGCACTGAGAGACGTGGTTTAGTGAGTACAGCCGACGGGTTGGGTGTTGGATTAGATGATCTTAGTGATCTTTTCTAACTTAATAACCCTGTGATTATTATGGTATCTGTCTAAGTTTCTGAGCCCTCAGTGGTACATGTAAAGCAAAACAGGATATGGGAACAACTAATCTTACTGTAAACTTACCACATTTAGCAATTACGCTTGTGATAATTTGTGATAATGCTCTGACAAGTGCTCAAATTACTTTCTTTTTGTCCTCTACATTGTTAGATGTTTAGGATTCCATCATCTATACCAGATGAGAAGGCAGAGTCCTTTATTCATCACTGTCTACAGGGTGTTAACGAAGACTCTTCTGCTCTTGTCAGATTTCTTTGCAATACCCTTACCTTCAGCCACTTTCTGCTTTTCTTCAGTTTAGAAAAGTTATACAAGCTTCCTTTTTCAGACTTTGGCTCTGTTTAAAGAAAAGATAAAAACAAATTTCTTCAGAAATAATGCTTTTCTCAGCCTACCCCAAAGTAAGCAGAGATTCAACTCAGTGGGTGACTACCTGGCTGCAGTACTCCATTCAGGGAATGTGTGTTCAGCACTCCTGAATTCCCTACTCCAGAAGATTCCCCAAGTAAAGCATTTGGAGGCTCTTCCTTAACTTGCATCAGGGGATCCCCAGATTGAGGCAACAAAGGATTGTCATCCAATCCATCCTCACTTTCATCACTGCAAGAAGATACATAATATGCTGAGAATGAAAGGAAAACATTCAAAAGAAGAAACGTCTGTGCAACTTGCATGTGGCCATTTGCCACAGGTTTGAGAACGAAAGCAGCCTCAGCTGTAATTCTGTGCATTACTAATACTGCTGTTAATAATTTAGCGTCAAACCCTCAGCAGCAGTTAATCATCAGACCAGTCTGGTTATGCTATCAAGCTGTGTCCCTAGTCTCTAGATAGATATTTAATACTCGAAGCACGAACTAACCAAGAAACGAAGTGCTGAGTCAAATCAAAGCACAATATTGTTATTCCCAGCACTACTGTACATGTGAAAGATATAAAGTCATATTTTTTTTATTCCTTGTGTGAATCTTACAGGCCTGTAATACAGGTTGCTTTCTATTATGCATACACTTCTCAGTTCTGTAAGCTCACAATTACAAAATACTGATGAAATAAAAGTAAATTGCTTTTGGACAGAAACATACCTTGGTGAGTCACATCTCAATGGTACAGCTTACTATCATAGAAATGCTGCATCTGACAACACCTTGTACTCCACTTACGGCTACGTGCCAGTTCCCTAAAAAATTAACTTAATGCTTGTTCATCCTACCTTTTGCAGGCAAAGAAAATTTTGGCCACTCAACTACGACAAAGAGCTTTAAAACATCTTGCTAATTTGTATACCTGGGCAAGAAATATGATGAATTATCAATGAGAGGAGAAGCACAGTGCAAATTCTTTACAAGATAAGGTTTTATAACGAACAAGTCATTCCCAATGAACAAGTAAACTCCTACTATGGTGTTGCCTGTAGGGTTATAAAAATGCTTGTCTTTCCTTGATATTCCTTGTAGAAAAGGCTTTAGTACCTGGATATATTCCTGTTAAAGATGGCAGATGTCTGTCGTAAAAACTGATCCAATTGCAGAGCTTTCTCCAGGTACTGCAGATAAAGGGGTTTTGCCAGCTCTGAGCAGCTGCCATCCTCCCTGGCACCCAGCTCCGAGGCCATAGAACAAACTTCTCCTCATGCACAGATGCCTCTGAACACGCAGCTGTTGAGAGGAAATCACAACTATCATCGCTGCCACCACCTCTGAGAAGAAAAACAAGGTGAGCAGGCAAAACTACTGTATTTGATACCACATGCCAATACATCCAAATCCACAGCTGGAGCTGCATAAATGAAAGCGCTATCAATGCCCTAAATATGATAATATTTACTGCTAAATAAATGTCTCCAACTAAATTTTTTGCTTATGATAGAGCATAAAAATAGTCAGCTTTAGAAAGATTAAATGTTATTCTGAAGGATTCTTCCTGCTTGTATTGCTTCTTAGAGATACTAAAAACCTGAAACAAATTTCACTTTACTGAAAAGCATTTAACATATAATTCTTCAGTTACTGAATTACTGACTACATTGTTTATGAGTTTATGAATGAAGCTTAAACACCTGCTCTTCTAATTGTTCTCTCCACGTTTACAGTCAGCATCTACCTTTCTCCCAAGTCTTTTATCCTAAAAAAAAGTATTACAAAATAGATTCAAATCTTCCAATATTAAAGAAAAACATCATAAGCGATTGCCACCTTGAGACTAACAGGCGTGGTTGAACCACAGCAGAATTTATTATTTCTTAACAAACATTCAGCCTTCGTATCTTCCCTACAGAATAAGCAACAGAATGCCAGGAACTGTTACAAGAGATAATGGCACTTAGACCGAAGCTGTCTAGGTTCAATTTTCTATATGCTAGACCTTCTTATGCCCAACAGAAATAAAATGGATGACCTCAGTTATGAAATACTTGTTTCAAGCAGAGGCTAACAAGACAGCAGAAAGCTCCTGAAAGCCTTCCCTATGAAATCATAGAATCATAGAATCACCAAGGTTGGAAAAGACCTAAAAGATCATCCAGTCCAACCGTTCACCTATTCCCAATAGCTCCCACTAAACCATGTCCCTCAACACAACATCCAGTCTTTCCTTGAACACCCCCAGGCTCGGTGACTCCACCACCTCCCTGGGCAGTCCATTCCAGTGCCTGACCACCCTTTCTGAAAAGTAATACTTCCTCATGTCCAGCCTGAATCTCCCCTGCCGTAGCTTGAAGCCATTCCCTCTGGTCCTTTCACTAATGACACGAGAGAAGAGGCCGACCCCCAGCTCACTACAACCTCCCTTCAGGAAGTTATAGAGAGCAATGAGGTCTCCCCTGAGCCTTCTTCTCCAGGATGAACATTCCCAGCTCCTTCAGCTGGGAATAAATAAATAAATAAGATTCATGTTGTCCAAGAAATTTTAAAATATATATGTCATGTTCTTTATCATCCACCTGGGAAAGAAAAGCAAAAAAAGCACAAAAAGAAAAAGCACCACCTAACGTCAAAGACTGTCTTCTAAGAGACAGGGTTATGAAGAAAATAAAGAGGTGAGAAAATGAGAGGAAGCATGAAACTTGTGCCTCTGATAGATGAGATTTCTGAGGGAATGGATAAAAAACAATACCAAAAAGGTGGGAGCAGTTTACTATCACATTAACAAAATCGATATATATATCACACGAGCAGATTAACAAAAATTATATACAGTAGAGAGCAAGATTCAATGCCTATAATATCAAGAAAGAAGAAGAAAAAAAAAAGCTATCTCCTTTATCACTCTTTTACTTTTTTAAAGCTTTCTGTAAACCAGAGCTGGCATGCATTTTGTGAATATGGCACTCCCTCAGTTTCCAGCCAAAATACCACACATAACCGTCATTTAACAATTTCGCTCACAGCCACAAGGCATCCTTCACCTCTCGGCTCTTTGCAGGAAGCTTTCCCCAACCTCAACATTGGGTAGCAGTGCCTCCTGCTTCACCCAGCACCCTTGGCTTCAGCTGGGTTCACCACGCCTTGAGGACACTGACAAACCGAATGTGCTCTTTTCCACCACATGAGACTTGGCCTAACAAAACTCTACAAGCTTAGCAGCAAAACGAAGGGAAAAAATAATATGACAGCAATCTTAACAAAGTCCTCCTTGCACTGGCCCAGTAACAGCGCTCCACATCTCAGCCCTCACAAGCTTTTCACCATTTTCCTATTTTAACTGTCCCAAAAGGTTCCTGTACACACCAAGTTAATTACTCTTGTCTTCAAAACAGTTACTGGTGTTCATTCTGCTTCCTGAATAACCAAATAAACATAGGAGAGCTTCAGAGAACCCTTACATACATCAGCAGTGCCCTAAACAAATTGAGATGTATATTAAATACAGAAGAACTCAGGCACTGAATTCAGCCTTCCATTTATTTATATGCTAATAGCCACACTCCCAATCTCTCCTGCTTAGCTACCAATTTGACAGAAATAACTTTCAAAATGATACATTTTCTTACAGATCCAAGTTCATTCTTAAGATACCTTCTTTGTCCTTTAGAACATGTTGCTCATTCCAGTGTTAATGATAGTATGGGGCTTACTCATTTACTTTGTTTTTCAAGTCTGCCCACCAGCGGGTCTAGCTGGTAAGCAAACATAGCACTGGAGAAGCACCCTCCAAGGACATCCTCAGGAAGCAGTCAGGCTTTATACAACGTGTCCAAGTTTTATGCCCACTGACTTACACCATCAAACCATTGCTCTCACGAAGCAGTTCAGCCTTAACAACAGACTTACTGAGTTTAACACCTACTGGCCATTTCTGAATGAAGTCCAACAGGTTCCTGCTCCCAGTATCAGTTTAAAGCAGGAGCCACATAAGCAGCAAGTGTTCTAAGCTCCCGCCTAGCTGCCAGCTGGACAGTGTTTTCTTTGTACTGCTTCTCCAGAAGTCACCTTTTTCTTCTTTTTCCCTTCCATCACTGGCACTTCTACATCTCACTGAGGCCCAGTATATCTCTTCTCTTTACGCCCAGTGCTGACATGAAGCATTATACACAGTGATGGTAGCCGCGCTCCTGAGGGCACACACACAAATGAAAGCTGCCTAGGAGGGCTAAGGTGCAGCACAGCGGCTAATCCACACAGCCTGCTCTTAGCCTTTGGCAAATCAGCAAGTAAAACTAATCCCAATGGGCTCAGCTGCCATGCTGAGTGCATGCATGCCGAGTGCAACCGGCTGGCTGGTGAGCTCATTCACTCGGGCACTTCAACCCACACGAGTGGTTTCTCACCTCTCCTCCATACCAATAAGCACACGGATGACACGTTCAAATGGGCCAAAAGCCAAAATCCCAGTTTACATGGGGAATTATGCATTTCTCACACCTCCATTTACATCATCAGAAGTCCTATCCATAGAGCAGGGTTAAGAACTGAACACAACCTTCTACACTGTTTTAGTTCCCTCACAATTGAGCAATTCTCTGTTTTTTTTTCCTAATGCCATCTTTTTACGCTTTGCATTTTGACACAAAGATTTTCCAAACTTACACAAACACCCAAGGTGTTTGGTTTTTTTTTCTTGAACAAATTTATGAATCAGACATACAACACTCCTTGGAACAGCACATGCTGTAAGGACACTCTGCAGTCACATCTCCAGAATCACTCCTGGCACAAACATACACATCCACACAAATCAGGGTTTAATTGGGAAATTCACTAGTACAATATCAGGTGCATTTTTGTCACCTTTTCTTATATTGTGTAATCTCTGATACTGGCAATTGGAGTGGCATAAAGGTGCTTGACGGGGTATTTTGCTTGGAGGAGAATTCAAACTGAAAGGGGAAAAACAGCATTTAGTTTGATAAAAGCATAGTTACACTGACAACTGTTCTCCACACTACATTATACGCCCAGTCTTCAAGTAAAGACCAACTCCCACATAGTCCTTCTAGGGCAGTAACTCTCCTAAATGCAACTCTGACACCCAAGAGACCATTGCTTTTCAAAGACCAGTCAGAAGAGCACTTCATAAGGCACTCAAGTTCTCCATAGCGCAGACCCAGTGCTGACTGAGCAAACAAGCACACACGACTGAAGATAACTGCATCTTTTTGGTTTGCAATAGCTAAGAAATCCTTTTAATCACTTTTCTAAGGAATGTACTTTGTTAAAACTAGACACTGCTATACACACAGTATTCTGCTGATCTCCTTTTGTAGAAAGGTTCTGTATTGCTTTCCAAGGAACGAGACAGCACTTCATTGATTTCAGTTCCACTTTAACTGCTTTTAAACACACAGAAGAGCCACTGGGACACAGGCTCCCAGTCTTCTATTTACATAAATAATGGGCACAGACTGAAGAAAAAAAAAAGGTATACAGCCCTACAAAAGTGTTATCAGAAGTAAAACCAAACCACAGAACGCTTTAAAACGTACCAAACACAGAAGCTGGCACGTGGCAGCTCCACTCCCACACTTACACCAGGGGAAAAGCTCCCAGGAGAGACTGAGCCACACGTGTCACCACGTGGTGTAGGGTGAGAACAGGCCTTGCCCCCGGGGCCAATGCCCACCTCCCGGCAGCAATCCATTAGGACTGTGGGCCCTGCACTATGCAGAGCACAGCTGTCACACTGAGCCCACAACACACAGCCTGCACAGACTGCCTGTCTGCGTATCACCCTTTTGCCCCAGCTCACAAAAAGGGAACCATGCCCAGGCAGTTTTCTTCTTGCCACCTAAACAACCCTTACTGCATAATTTAGTTCTCCACGCAGCATGCTTACTGCGGAATATACCGCCTTTACGTTATATCTAAGCAGAACAGAACTTGCTCATCTTAACAGCCAAGAAGCGCAAGGTGGGATTTTAAGCAATCTTAGCAACACATATGGGAGAGATGGCCTAGAGGTGACCTAGAGGAAACATCCTCAAACACTGAGAAAAGTTCAAGCTGCTGGCCCTTCTCCCTCACTGCTCTCAGCCTTACCAACCACACAGAAGTCACAGCCCAAGCCTACCAGCACACACTGAGGGGGTGACCACATGAATGTCAGTTTTGACCCACGGAAATTAAAAACAGGTAAGTGTTGCTAACACACAGCTGTATGAGGTACACAAAATCCAAGCAGGTTTGTGTAAGAGAAAAGTAGAATTCTAGCAATGCATATAAAGAAGTCTTATTAAAAAAATGGATTTAGGCTGAACCATTCTATACACGAGCGAAAAGCAGTCCGAAGGAACTGTCATAACCGCAGAACTGGAAGGGAACATAAAGTCCCCTCAGTCCCACCCGTGCTGCAGACAGGGCTGCCCCCCACCAGCTCAGCTGCCCAGGGCCGCAGCCAACCCGGCCTCGATCGCCCCGGGGATGGGGCACCGCAGCTCTCCGGGCAGCCGTGCCAGGGCCTCACCGCCCTCTGCGCGAAGGATTTCCTCCCAGCGCCCAACCTCCACCCGCCCCATCTCAGTCTAAGGCCGTTACCCCGTCCCAGGGGCGCGCAGGAGCTCCCCGCCCCGCCACCATCTGACAGCGGCATCGCCCCACGGCAGTTCCCCGCAAACCCCGGAGGCACAGCCCGCCCGCGACCGCGCACCACCGCCCACAGCGGCGCGGCGTCGCGCTGACGCGGCGCCAGACCCCGAGCTACGAGGCCCCCGCCGCCGGGCGCCCACACGGGGCCGGGGCGCGGCCACCGTTTCCTCCTCCTCCTCTCAGCCCGCCCCGCCGCCCGCCGGCACCTCACGCCCCCGGGCCGGGCGGGCAGCGCCGCGCGGGGGCGGAGAGGGGGGGAAGCGGATCGGCCACGCTCCCCGGCCCTGCCCCCGCCGCGACACCCCGCGGCCCCGCCCGCAGTCCGAACCCCCCCGCCGCGCACGCGCTGCCGCCCCCCGCGCGCACGTGCACCCGCAGGGGCACGGCCCCCCCCCCCGTACCCCCCCCTCCCCATCCGCTCGTGGGGCTTCGGGGCCGCCGCGCCGCGCGTGGAGGGGGGGATGCGAGGGGGGTGCGGCCCGCGGCGGTCCCGGGGCGCTGCCGGCGGCGGGCGGGGAAGGGGCTGCGCCTTTAAGAAGAGCCCCGGCCGCCGCCGAGCCCGCCCCGGGGGGGGGGAGCCGCGGCCCGGCGGGGCGCAGTCCGCCACCGGCCCCGCGCGTCCTTGCGCGGCCGCCGCGGTGCTCACCTGGGGCGCGGGCCCGGCTGCGGTGCGGCGCGGGCGCTGGGGGTGTCCCCGGGGCTCGCCGCCCCGCTCGCTCTGCCCGGCCTCTCGCCGCGCGTTGACGGGGCCGCCGCTGCCCGTCTCCTGCCGCGGGGCGCTCCCGGCTCCTGCCTCGCCAAGATGGCGCCCGCGCTGCTGCTGAGGAGGAGGCGGCGGCTGCGGGCGCTGGGACGGCGGCGGCGGCCACTTTCGCTCACTGAGAGGAGAGGAGCAGGGACACGGGGAGCCATGGCGGGGGGGAGGAGAGGCGCCATGGCCAGGCCTGAACAATCGAGCCCGGCACGCCGGCGCGACGCTCCGGCCCCGCGCCTCTGCCCCGCCGTCCCACCGACGTCGCCGCCGCCGCACGAGCCCCGGGCCCGCGCCGCGGGCGGCGGCTCTGCACGTAGCCCGCGGGGGGTCCGCGCCCATCGATGCGTTCCTCGGGCCGATTGGTAGAGTCTGGCGGTGACGGAAATTGCCGAAGGGACTCGGGCGAAGCGGCCGGGTGAGCCGGAGAGTCTCGCGCGAGGCGGGGCAGCTCTCGCGACGTCTGCGGCGGGAGGCGGATGTACACCGGAAGTGACGTGCACTCGCCCTTGAGCCGCCGGAAGGGCGGTGGGGCTGCTGGCCGCGGCAGCCGGGAGTCCCTCGGGGCGGGTGGCAGCGGCCCAGTCCCGAGCTGCGGGAGCGGGGGGGTGGGCGGCCCCACGGCGGTTGGCACCGGCAGAACGGCTGTCGCGTGCAGAGCTGCGTGCGTTTTGGTATATTGAAACGCGAAGAGTTATGGCAGATGAGCTTGAGACAACGCCGGCCTGATTGTGATGGTGAGGGCACGATGCACCGTAAGGACTGCAGCTGTCGGCACGGCTACCTCCCAGAAACCACTGACTGGTATCACTGCTCAGTGCGTTCATCACCTGCAGTACTTCGACTCACTCCCTGCTTGGAGACAGCAGTTGGTACCTCTTCTCTACATTCTCTAACAACGTATCAGAAAGCATATGGTAGCACAACAGCTGAGAAACAAAAAGCAAGACTGCTTCACCTCCCAAACAAGCTTCTACAGCTGTCCTTACCTGCACACAGCCTAGCAGTTACACTAAGGAAGAGAAATGCACCACATTACTACCAAGCTTAGAAAAATGAACCATACCAAGCGCTAGCATGGGGCAGCATTACAAATTTACCGATTTAAAAATATTTTGTGAAGTCCTACTTCTCCTTTAAAAAAGACTGTTCTCAGTCTAATGCATCAAGACTGACAAGTTGGTCCCAATCTATTTCTTCACACCATTTGCAAAAGACAAGGGAGAGCTGCAGTCCTGTTTACCCTGAAGATTTTGGTGAAGCAGCACAGATGTAGTCACTCTGTCCAGCTCCTATCTGAAAATCCTTATTCTTTAATAGTATTATTCCAACCAGAACTTTATTTCTCCTGGAGAAGCCCAGGTGTGCATCTCAGTTTTGTCCATACCCTCCATAAGGGCACTCTACCATCGCTCTTCTACATCCCAGACTCAACACCTTCACATCCAATTAGTCCCAACCCCCAATATCCAATACCCTGCAACTTCCCCCATTTTTCTGTAATGGGACCAGATGGGCCCAGATGATTTCAGTTCTGGAAATACACTACAAGCACTTCTGTGCTGGTTCTGAAGACCCTGCATATTTCATGTCACAACTCACTGACTTCTGAGAATGCACTGCTGCTTAGGAAAGTCTTGTTACAGATGAACAGTGCTGAGGAGGGGCCCAATCCAGCATCTTCTAGTAGACCAAATCAAACAAGTCTCGACATCCACAAAAAAAGCTGTAAGAAACATTTCAAATCTGTTTTATTTCTAAAGTGAACCAAGATAAAACAACTGTACACTTCAATTACAGAATACTGTATTTTTAAAATTTTTAAAAATACAGAAAAGTGCACTGTCAAAAATCACACCTTCCAACTTTTTTCTAACACTTTCAGAAATAAATACATCTAGAATTTCAAAAACCTTTATTTAAATACTTCTGGTCTAATATTTTAATGAATAACAGACAATGCAAGTACACTGGAAATAAACAAGTTTTGCCTACCTTATTTTTCTTGGGGAAGAAAAAACTCTAGACATGGTTTATACAAATTTAACTGCTTTCCCTTACTTTGAGAACAGATGCTTTTCTGTATACAGACATTACTGTTACTGTCTTATCTATATGAGTAAGACACAGTATTGCTGACAGAGGTGGGCTGCAACTTCATAAGCAGAATGCTGCCTTTGCCAGTCAGGATACAGTAATTCTGTCTTGGCAGAAAAGAACTTTTTTTTTTTTTATCTGTACACCTCTGCTGCTTTTGCCAGCAATGCTGCTCAGTAAGGTGTGATCTCCTGCACTCTCCTATGCAAGTCTTGTACAACTGTGCCAACAGACTTATCTGTCTATAAGCCAAGCCCACATGAGCTGGCCAGAATTTTTTTTTTTTAAACTTCCCCAAGCAAACCCTTTCCAATCACAAAGATCAGGCACCTCACAAGCTTCCCCATTCACATATTTGGTTTGAGTGAGAGTTTTACATACCTGCAACAGTTGAAAACAACAAAAGCACCGACACAACAGTCTGATAAAATAGACTAAAAGAAAAAGTCAATAGCCAAAATAGCTCATGGGGAAAAAGAGATCTCAAAATAGATTTCAAGTCAGAAATTAGGATTAGAGAGACCGTCAACATTCCCCTTAACAATCTGCTCACCTGCCCTTGTAAAGAAGAAATTTGTTTGGTGCTTCTGCATAGGGAATAGCTCCATCTTATTCTTTGAAATATGTATTCCTCAAATACATAACAAACTTATCAATTTATCTGCACCAAAGATTTTTACAGCCAACCTGAGATTGGTCTGAGGATCTCCTACAGACTTGACACTTGTTTTTGACTTTCTTCCTTCACTTCATAAAGTAGATCCTGACTGTTGGAGGATGTAGTTTGACACGCGGCTTCATGGGGGGGAAGACAGACCCTGTCATCTCAGTGGGTTTCATCCCTCTGTGGATTTCTCTCATTTAATTCTATGACTGGTCTGATCAAAAGACCATCCTCACTTATTCTGTACTCTTTCACTGCCTTCTCTCTTCGCAGCTTCTGGATGTCTGCCAGCTGACGCAGCTCTTTTGGCAGCTCCATGCAAGTAGGCTGATAAGGAAAAAAAGAAAAGAAATAAAAACAATTCATACACATACACATGCTCTACTTTTGTTGGTACCAGATAAGAGTTTCCTCTGATTTGGCAACAAAACAGAGCAATCATCTCATTACATCTACAGCACGAATTAACTATCTGCTTGTACAAACACTATACTGGGGGGGAGGAGAGCAGGGAAGGACTTTATCCTTTCTCTCAAAGGCAGCCTAAAGGGAAGAATATTAGACCTACCTTACTGTTTATGCCCTTATTATGTAGATCTTCAGCATTTAAGTGATATTTTGCGTATGGGATTGAGATTGCTCCAGTGATCTTCTGTACTACTAACTTACAAAGCCTCAAAAGACTTGCAGTCAGTTCAGGTTTCCTTACAGGAGTCACTGCAAGAGCACCTCTCCTGGCTTTTCTCCAAATCATAGTATTTCTATCCTAAGCAAACAAGCCTCATGTAGAATAGTCAGTAGTTTGCAAGTCTGGAACAGCTGCCTAGGAAATTCACAAAAGGAGATGCACTTCTTGACATGGTTCTGAGCAGTTGACGAAACACTATTCAGAACATTACATTCAAGGAGCTGCTATTTAACAAGGATTGCAATGCTCACTGTTTGGAGAAACATCAGAAAATTCATCATTGCTCTCATCCTTACAAAGGGAAATTACACAAATAAGAAAGCCTGCTAACAAGAAGGAAAAGGCAGCCAAACAGCTTAAATCCTATCAAGTAGCATAGAGACAACTTCGAGATACAGGCAGCACAGAGTAAACATCACTTAAAAGCAAAATATCACAGAAAGCAAAAGGAAACCAGCAGGACTGCAGAGCAGGGCAACAGAGACTATGCAGCAACTATCCTTCAATAAAGTTAAGGTCACATCAAAATGAAGAAAATAAGGATGAAGTTCCAGAGCAAACAAAAGACAGGCTAGAAAAAATTACTATTTAGCAAAAGTATAAGAAAGCAAATTTTAAAAACTTTCTTTAAACTCCAGAAACACATAAAACATCAGCCACGCTGCTGGGCAAAGCAACAGCAGAACCCAAAAACAGCACAGGAACAAATGCAACATTTTTTCCCTCCTGTATTTAACATTGAAATATGTAGCAATTCCAACACCAAAACCATTTATGTACCTACAATGTTTCAGATAATGGTATAAATATTTATACCAACACCTTATCACAAACAGCAAGGCACAGATCACCTGAGATTCCTGAAGTGAAGATGAAATAGCTGAACAAGCAACAGTAGCAACTTGCTTAAAACCTGCCCTGATACTCACAAATGGGAAGACAGTAAATATTCAAAGAAGGTCCACAGGAAGATACAGGAAGCTACATGTTGCTAAATCAGATGCCCCTGTGAGCTCACTGGCAGAAACACTAACAGCAGGAAGAACAAATACAACAGTTGGATACACCAGGAAAGCATTATCATAGCTTTTGTAAGGGGAAGATACATCCCTCAAAATCTGCATCTAGAAGTTCACAGAAGTCCAGATGAAGGCCAAATAATACAGAGATGATTATAGAAAAAATAGCAGAGCACTTACCTCTCACAGGAAAACCCCACTCACAGTCTGTTTACCCACTCAAATTTACGTCCAGCTTCCTGAATGCCCCAGTATCTATGCTACAGTGAGAGGTAACCTACTTCCTCAATCACTTAAGGCCAAGCTGCATGAAAATTCCCTTTACAACATGTGCAGTCCTCACTCACATGCCAATTAGGAAGACTTATTGTTCAAGCATGCAATTTTGTTTACAAAGAGAACAGACTTTCTGCCATCACCTGCCATGAACATGCTATCTGGTACTACATACTGCACTGCATCTTATCTACTGCAGCCTTACTTGAAGTGCATAGGAAATCATTTCTGCTGCACAGGGATAATGGTGGTGAGCAAAAACTCTACAGTTCCAAAGCTCTCCTTATAAACTGACACCACTCAAAACACTGCACCTCTACAAGTGTATTCGCTTGGTTCCCAGGCAGTGTTGCTTCCTTTGAATTTAAGTCCTATGCATCAGAACACAGCAGTATTTTAAAGCACATAACCACATACAATACACATCTATGAGAAGAAATTTAACACCGCTTCTTTCCTAGCCCTTTTCTACAGACAGAGCCCATATAACTTCATGTCTGCATCCACAAGGAGAATAATTATACTCCTGGCAGAAAGCTGCACTGAAAATATGAGAAACAGCATAAATCTTCAGGTTGGAAAGTCCAGGTTGAATTCTTACTTAGTGGTGATGGCAGATCATCACTTTGAGGAAGATGTAGAAACATGCAGCTGAGGATTTTGATAGTGAACTACTGGAGGTCAGAATTTACTGTTTCACTGCTGTTTCAAGGGTAGAATGTTAAGTGCTTAGAAGGAAACGTCCACTACTCAGAAGACTCAAATACTCCCTGTAGGCAATGACACACAAAACCACAGAAAGCATCAACATTCAAGGATATATGAAACTGAAGATCAATGAGATGCCTTTCCTTTTCATTTGCCCCACAGCCATTCTCTTCTCCCAGTACTGTATCAACTAGAGTGCTGCATGATTGCATTTTCTGGCTGCTATAGTCACTGGAAGTCCTTTCCTGTTGCTAACAACTGCCAGCAGAATGCTCGATACCCATCTTTTCTGTAACACTTTCCCAAAAGAAGCTCTAGTCCACAGATTTGCATCATGCCACCTTTCCAGTATATCTCCCCCAACCTGGTGTACCAGTCCACAGGCCAGCTACTCAGTGCATCTTCTGTTACTGCTGAAACAGCTATCAAATGACAGAAGACTGCACTTGACCATCCAGAAGCAAGGTGAAAATCTTGCCAGAAAGGCTGCCCAGAAATATTCTGGTTCTTTGCCATTTCCAGCAAAACAGCTTAAAAACAAAAAACAAAACAAAAACAAAAAAAACACAAAAAAAAACCAAAAAAAACAAACAAGGGGAAGAAAATATGGATGAAACCTCAATTGAAAACAGCACTATCACTGGTGAGAGCCGGAACTGTTCATGAAAATTACAATCTGTGTCAAAGATTCATTTACATACTACTTGCACAAAATACATAACTGCTACTCATTCTGCTCATTCAGGTTTATTGCTGCAAAAGCAATAAAAGTCACTGATCCATTTTTATTCATACCGTCTTACCCACAGTTCCAGTGAAGTAAGCTAGCTGCAACCAAACAAGCTCACTCACTAGCAGTCATGAATTTTCAACAGACAAGGCAAAATTAGGCACTGGTACCTGCAGTTACGCGTAAGTCTGAAAACAAGCACTCCTGAGAATTTTGCATTTGTTCAGGAAGTGCTTCCTGCATTCTGCCACTACTGGGATATTTGGATACACAGGATCTTTTTCTCACTGAAGAGATTTCCCTGAAAAACTGACTACAGAGATCTGGCATGCAGAGGCCCAAAGAATGGCAAAGATAATTATATTCATCAGCCTTATTCACACTTGTCTTTCCTCAACTCTTACAAGATGAAGTAACCCATAAAGGCAACTGTGCAGGCTTGGCTTTCCTCCATGAGGCGGCACACTCGCTTCTTCCTACTATTTCCAAGATTAGGAGCAACAGAGAATATGTTCAGTCTGCTCCCAGAAACAGAATCCCCCAATTAGACAAGTTGCTAACTGACCCAGTAGTTATTGTTCAACATTGATTGTTGTTCAGTGTCACTCAATATACAGCCAACTTCAGACTGGAAAGCCAAAGCATCTTTTTTCACTAAGTATATCCTGATTCTGTTGTAATACACAACAGTGGTTGGCATGATGAATCTCTGGATTCTGGCAGTGTCCCAAGGAAAATCAGCAGGATGCTACAATGCTAGTCCGGGCTGAAGTTCAATGTTTGACTCATTTATTTCTAGATCTGTGTCTGTGAGAGGGGGACAGCAGGCACACCGGCCCAAACAGGCTGCAGGGAAGAAGAGGAAAGGGAACAAAGAGGGAAAGAAAGAAAAAAACAAATAGTGGCAACAATCTGAGAAGGAAAATGTGCTAATTATAATAGCAAACATACAAGTTACTGGGATTGATGCCAAATCAAATAAGTTTCTGAAAAAATGAGGTTCTCACTTTGATCCACCAGGGAGCAAAGAGAGTCAGTCCCAGGACTTCCAGTCAGTTTTATCTTTTCCACCAACCAGAAAACAAAAACAATAGCAAAGTTCTCGGGGAGCTGTAGACATTTCTTCTCTTCTGAGACTCCCAGTGCACTGCATGATGTGATGATACTGAATACCAATAACTAAAATCATAAAGCCAGGACAACAAAAAAAGAGAATACATTTAACTAAACCACGGAGATTTGCTTGGTGTTTAAATATCAGTTGATATAAATACATATCAAACTGTTTTTTTCTTAATACAAGAGTTTCATTTGTGTGATTATCTTGTAAGATACAGAAACAAAATGATTAACAGTGAAGTAATGGTGAAAATGGCTACCTTTACTGTCCATTCTACAAGATTCTTCTTAAATGTGATATTAAATAGGCCTTCAAAATGCCAATTGAAGTTCAAATTAATTCCTTGGCTAATCTTATGGAGTAAATGGATTTACAAAAGAATTGTTTCAGACACCAATTAAAAATTCTCGAAACAACCCAGTGCTAAGGACTATTTTATCCTCTGCACATTTTAAAGACTGCTTTTTTCCTCCGTGTATCCCTCCTACTTTTGCATGCATTTTACACTGGAAATCCAGATTCAAGCTCCTCCTTCTCCCTACAGAACAAACTCCTGTTATTGAAAATTCTAAAAAAACAAAAAAAAAAAAAAAAAAAAGCAAACAAGCATGCTTTCAGATCTACCTGTGAATCAACTGTGACCTCTTGTGGTTATGTAAATGTATCTCCTACTGCATCCTTAATAATTGGATTTACTGTTCAGAGCCTTAATATAGTACTCAAAGGATTCAAGTCCAGGATTGAATGCTTTGTTATACCAGGAAAAGAAATAATTTCATTCTTTAAGACAGCTCTGCATCCAGTTTTCCTAATAAATACTTCAAAATATTTCCAACTGCAAAAAATGAGGTAGTGACACGATCTAAACACAAGTTAGCTCTGTTCTGTCATGATGAATAAGGATCTCTGACATTTACCTTTTTCTTTATTTCAACAGCCACAATATCTTTCACAGTCACTGCAATTCCCGCTATAACTTCTTCACTAAAGACACTGAAAAAGACCCAGCAATACAATTGTCTATTTTGTCTGCACAGAACTGATCTTTCCATTAGCAAAGAAAGTCAAGTTCCTTAGTAAAAGAATCGCACACCTCTCCCCTGTTAAAGATAACCAAGGAATTACAGAGGAGTCCACCACCACACAAAAGCCACTCCAAGATACTTGGAAGTGTATTTATGAGACAACAGTACTTGATCTACATAACTAACAATGAGAAATGTTACCTGGTTTTATTTTCAGATAACTCAGAAGAGCAGAAATCAGGAAGAAATAAAAATCATTGGGTGACAAAAGACAACGTTTTTCAAGAACAAGTATATTCAAAATAACTCAGAAGTAATGATGATGTGACTGGAGAAAAATAGAACAAGTCTTGGGGAATAATGTCTCCTACCAAAATAAAGCAACTCTGTCAACTCCAGATAACACCACTTCACAGCTGCCTGTCTCTTTTCATGTCTACACCCACCCACCATTCACTGAGCCCAGAAGTTCTGTATCAGACCAGAATGAACACAACTGTGCCTTAAGGGCCGTAGCTCACTATCTGCAACACAAACTTAAGGTGGATTTGTGCTAACAGATTGACTGGAAATGCAGCTAGATAGATGTAGATACCATCACTTCCACTACCAAGCACCAAAAGCAAGATGTGGCATAAAGCAGGGTCTACAACTGCTGAAAACGAAAAGACTTTAATTAGGTCTTCCAGAGTTTATCCATATGAGCCTTAGATTATTTCACTGAACCGAGAAACAAGCTAGGACATTCCTACCTTTATGCTCCCAAGGTGATCTTCAGATCCATTCTGTGAAGTACTTAAGTAAGCATGTACCACAGCTCTGAGGTCTGCCATGAAGTTATCCATTAGAGACGAGTGGAGTAGCAGAAGGTACATAGCCTTCAGAGCAAGTACTTGAAGCAGAGAAGATGGAAAGGGTCTCAAGAACCACCTATCAGGATTCTCCTGTGTATCCCAATGCAAACAAGAAGTTAGTTAAGAAGTAAAAATTATAACAAAACTTTTTCACGTTCCTCTGCAGTTGAATCTCCAGATGCTGCTATCTACTTTAGTGCTACTGAATGCTTGCAGCTTCTAAGGCCACCTGCATACAGCCAATACAACAGAGGAGGGTTCAGAGGTGGAATTGCTTAAAACACAGCAACAGGAAAAAAAACATACATCTTTTCCAGTTGGTTCCTTCTCACTTAACTATCCACCTGAAACTAGGTAGAATTCTAAAGATGCGGCAAATGCCACTGAACCACTACTCTAATTTTTCCAGCACCAGCATCAAGTTTCCTTTTCCTTACTTGACTCTAGATTCATTTTAACCATCTTGTTGTTGGACTAGGTTTCAGAATTGTTCTGGGTATCATAATACACTTAACTATTCTTACAACTTACACATAATCTCTATTGCACAAGTTTTGCATTTCTTCAATACCTCAGTTTCAAATGAACTATTGGGAAATACTAGCAATACTAGAAATACTGCAGCTGAAGCTTGCATCTGTCTCCCAAATGACTCTTACAAAATGTCCTTAACTACAGCAATCCAACCACTAAACAGTACTACGCTCTTAAAAACTAAAATAAAAATCTGTAAAAGGGCAAAGCACAGCTTACAAGTCAGTTTTCAGAAGGTGCCTCATTAAATCACCCACCAAAGCCATTTGCTGCTCATGCTTCATGAGGATTTTCCATTTGGAAGGTATCTTCAAGTGCTGCATCAGACACTCCTGTAATGTGCAAGTGGAGTGTGGAAAGAAGCCTCCCGTTGCCACTGAGAACTGCAGAACATCAGCAACCTGCGATGGAAGGAATTCAAATGTTATGACCACTATCTGTTAACCCAAAGCAAAGCAACCAATAGCAGTAACTGCACAGAATGTTGTTTGCTTTTTTCCAGTCTGGTTTTATTCATTTTGCTCTTTACAGTGAGAACTGAAACAGACTGCACACCTTGTCTGCTCCCAACCATGATATCTGAAGGGTACCTGTGTGTCAAAGACATTGTCAAGAAGTACGTTGTACTGGTGAAAGAGGCAATTTGAGATCCAACGGCAGTCATGCATGACCTGGAATAAAAAAGAGCTGTCAGACAAGTATGTGTACAACCACAACTTCTCTGGTGAACAGGACACATCTATATACCACCCCTACTACCTTAAATGTCCTTACACTCCCCTCCATCCTTACCTTCAAAATGTTTTTATCTTCTAGCACAGTTCGTAATCCATTTCTGAAAGCTTGAGGTCCCAGAAGGAAAATATCAAATAGAAAAATGTGACTTTTTGTTGCCATCTACAACAAATTGAGGTGCAGAGATGAGCGAGGAACAAAAACAACAGATTTGAAGGTAGGAGAAAGTGCACTGTTACATACAAGACAATCTGTCATAAAAACATTTATGTTAAGGGAAGCAGGCTCAGTTTCCTTAATGCTAACCTATGAGAAAGTCTTTTTTTCAGACATGCAGAGATACAGAAGCTAGAAAGAACGATCCAGTAGTCTACTATACACATTTTAAGCCACCATTTTGAGACATATAAAAAGTAAACTCTAGCTGAATTACTCCAAATAAATTCCTACAACTATTATGGTGACATAGCAGTTGACACCATCAAGCAAAATTCTCATGGTTATGGCATTCCTTTTGTTTTGAAAAACTGCTACCAAAAAAACAAAGGACATCATTCTCCACCACACCATTCAGATAGAAAAAGTTTAAATTTTAATCTATGCTCAAACTGATGTCTTAACAACAGCTGATATAAATTCATCACTTTGCCATGCCACAGCAGGTGGACACTTCTGCAAGTTTGAAGTACAAAACTCCCACACAAGTTTTTGCTTTGCTCAGTCCTAAGCCTATTTAAAAACAAACCAAGGTGCTTTTGAGCAGATTGAACAGTACTCCTTTCCATCTCTTTTTTTTTTTTTTCAAAAATGTTTATAACACAGTCATCAACCAAGATATTTTATCTTCAGATAGATTTTAATCCTTCCATCTAATTTAGTTATATTGGCATTGTGATTAGGTAGTCCTTGTAGCTATTTAATGGACAACAGCTGTATTATTGTAATATCTCTACCTCTATTCAAGTAAATATAGATGGCAGGCCAAGTAAATTATATTGTTTTTGCAAACAAATGTTACACATATGCTATATAGTTTATTTATATTTAATAAACCTTCTAATTCATACCATATATAAAAACAACTTTATATTAAATATAGATTACTTATTAGATTGCCTTACAGTGGCATAATTGTTTCTGCAACAGGTCTTCCATAAAACACTTAATCTGTCCAGAAGAAAATCGCATCCATTTACCAAAACAGTTATGTAAGTCTTAAAGGCTAATCACAAAACATTTCCCAGTTTTGCTACTATGTTGGGGCACTTGTTGGAAAACATCTGTTTCTTACCTGAAGCCACGAGAGTTTCCCATTACGACACAAAGTGACACCTTCTCCAACAACACTGATAACACCCTGTTGTTTCAGGTGCAGCACCTAATGAAAAATAGGGTTAAATGAATAGTGCCAGAGACTAAAAGACAGAGAAACAAATAGTAAGGTGGGATGTTTCTGGTCATGATCCAAATTTAAGAAATGTAAATATAAATCACAACAACAAAACTCAAGTATACAGTGATCCAAGAGAAACAGGCAGTATCAGCCCAGTGAGACACATGGCATTACAGAAGTAGAAACAATGACAGATTTAACAGAGATCATGGATTAACTACATAATATAGACTCCTGATCTCCTCTTTAGAAATTTTCTTAAGTAGGTTTTAGGAGCTTTCTCAGGATCACAAAGGAGGTATTTTTTTGGATGAACTCATCTTCTAAGGTATAAGAAATGAAACTGCTACTCTCACAGACACTTGAAGTTCCCAGATAATTAAGACAAACTAACCCATGCTGCACATGCAATATAAAAGGAGCAGGAAAAAAAAGCCAGCTTCTTTTCAAGCAAAAATTAGATTCCTCTGCAGTACGGGAAATCTTCCCCTGTGGTAAAAGGATTATTTTATCCACGTGTGCACTATACATATAAGGAGTACCCAAAGCTCATCTGATTTAGCTGCAAGACAAAATGGCATCAAGGACACACAGATCTAATTCAGACCTAAAAACACTATTTGGTTTACTAAGTCTATCATTAGATCTGAAGCAAAGCCTTCCTTCCAAATTCACTGATGTTACACACAATTTAAAGAAAAAAGCCCAGGTCCAGGCATTTCTGAAGTTCCAAATGTCCATTAAAAAAAGCATTGCCAATTCCCTCTCCAAACACCAACAAATCCTGGTACTGCTACCTTTTTAAGTAATTGCTCACTTACCAGCAATATTGACCCCTCACCTGAGTTTACAGCTGATATATATTCTGAAAACCATAATCAACAATCAATGATATTTGCTGCAAACTCTTTCCATGCATGTATGCACAACTTAAACATACCTTAACACCACCACTAACACCATTTCTACTTGACTTCAAGAAGCCAGTTACTACTTAGAACTCAAATTTCACTACAGCCTGCAAAAATGATTTCCAGTATAAGAACTCATAGCACAAGAACTCATTGTAGCAATGCTCACAATCCTGTACTTACAATTAGAACAGAAGAGGCTTTAAAGTCATATACACCACATGAGAGCTTCAATTAATACTCACTGCTGGGCCAAATTTCTCCTGGAAACAATTAACAACTGTATACTCTACTTTCTCTTCTTCCTCCTTCCCTAAAATGAAATTTAAAAAAAAAAGATGTTTTCTCTGCTTGAACAAACTCCTACAGATGGTATATATTTCAATTATAATATCACTCTAGTTCAGCAATTCAGCTCTTATCCTTCTACTTCCTTAACACACGCAAACAGATCATAGAATAAGAATTGGAGATCTCAGAACTGTTCGGTTTGGGAAGGATCTTAAAGCTCATCCTGTTCCAATCTCTCTGCAGGAGGCAGAAAAAACCTCAAGTATGGGGAATCCACAGCTTCAGATTCTGAACTGTTCACTTCAGATGTGCACAGTCCTCAGCATGAATCAAAATTCTTACTTTCTCATGGAAAAATGATACTCAAAAGTTGCAGTGTTTTTTTTTTTTTTTGTCTTTGTAATACATAAAAGAAAAAGACAGATTCCAATTAATGACATTGTACCTGTTAAAACAGCCCTAATTCCCAGGCATTCCAGGGAAGGTGAAAGCTTGTAACAATGACAGAAAAGACAATGATACCATAGAACACCAACAGGTAAATGACCAAGAGCACTAACAGAATCTACGACAGATTTTAGCATTTTTAAACACCTGCCTAACAATATCTCATGAATATCTCAGCAAAAGAAAGGCTTTCAAAGATTTTCCCTTCCCCATTCACACACCCACGGCAGCACAAAGTGTTCTGTACTGAGATATTGTTCAATTTCAAAGATAAGGCAAAATTTTAAAAGCATGTCAACCTTGCCCTTTTGTCCCCCCACTTCCAAGGCCAGTGCAAGTAACCTTCCTTCAGCCTACACAAGCATTGAGTGCTTGTCAAGGCTTTATAAGAGCAGTGAGCCTATTACTTCTTAGATCCATACCTGTGCTTGTACATAGAGCAGGAATCACTCAACCAATTCAATGCAAGCACCTTTCAGGCATGACAGCCAGCACAATAACAAAGAGCATTAGCCTTAATGAGTTTTCATTTACTTGTCATGCCACATACAATTCAGGGACAAGATTAAATAATCACCAGAGGAATGTTTACCAACTGAAGCACTTTGACTTATCCAAAAGATCAATGATACTACTCTGCCACTTCTACTGTGGATGTGAACCACAGGATAAACATTCCTGAAAACAGGAGTTTCTTTTTGATGTCATGTACATATCTGAAGGCAAAAAGAATGCCTGCAGATAAGCCCCGTGCCTATCTGTCCATGACCATCTGTCCAGATAACAGGCAAGCCAAGAAACTGCAGCTTCTAGGGAAGATACTGGCTAACACAAAGCAACTACACTACTTAACTGTGTATGGAAACTGATGAGTCACAGCCTGACCCACTGATTGAGCACCTGGAGAAAAGACCCATTCAGCCCCAGGAACACAGGTGAAGGCAATTCAGCTGTGCAACCAGAAGGAGTGGAGCCTGGCTGCATCTCTTGAACCTTATCTAGCAGCTGACTGCCACCATGGAAGGCTCTTTCTGGAGATCCCTCCCCTAGGGAGTTTCCTCTGCTAAGCTAGATCCTCAGAGATAAGTGAACAATCTTTCCCCTTCCTTTGTAACATCCCTGTCTTTCTGTCATTACAACTAACACTGACATTACCTGGGAGGGAGTTCATGTTTAAATTATTCAAGGCTCTGAGCTGCCTCTCTGGGGAAACACATGGAGAACTCCCCAGGCCACCCTGTGCTGTTTCCATGTCTGCTCCTTTGTTCTCCTTAACAGCTGAAGTGCACCTGCAGGAGCAAAGCAGCCATACATACATGCCCAAAAGTAAAACATTACACACTGGATATGTGATTACAGGATTGGATATTTTAACAAGGAAAAATTCTTCATGCAATGCTATCCACCTGCATCCAACAACAAACAGCTACACATGGAGCAACTTCCTAATCATGTGTGCCCAATTCTAAAAGGAGAATTTGAAGCTATTCAAACATGAGCTTATTCTGTCCCCAGGACCTTTATTTTACATGAAACTTGGGATATATGTCTGAAAGTAAAAGGTGAACACACAAACCAAACAGATGTTCACTGCAAAGCTCAGCTATGAAGGTTTCAAGGGAAGAAAGAATTACAAGGCATGAATTGCCTGACATAAGCTCAAGACCCCAACAGCTTAAACATCTGCAAATCTTTACACTGAATCCATAATAATTAAATCATTGATCAGATATTATAATTGAAGGCTAGTTTTACAAGTTCATAAATAGGTGAAACAGTTATATTCACTGAAACTTTGCTATACTTAGAAGAAGGTTATTAAATAACACAAATAGTAGTAAGTCAAGACCAAAAAGTTAGCCAACAGTCATCTATTTGAAATACATCACATATACAATGCTTCATTGCTACAACAGGACATTCCAAGACAAAAAAAAAAGTTTACTTCAGAGCAAAATATGACTTACTAGTAAACATTCCTTTATACTGATATAAAACCACACCACTATGATTATAGGGCTGTAAAGATGGCGATCTATCTCACTATGATAAAACAAAACTCTGATTCACACTTAGGTGTACATGAAGAATCTTTCACCTAAAATGGTATAGTGAAGGATTAATTGAGAAATCTGCTACACAAGTGAGCATATGTGCACATGTATATTTGTTCAAAGCAAAAAAGAGACAAGGCAACAGGAAGCAAGAAGACTATTGCTGATTAGAAGTTCATGTGTTGCCTATATTTTAAGGCTGTTTGTTAGATATAATTTCATTCTTGTCTTAAAAGGAAAAAACTATTCAGGTCATGCCAAGAGACTCAAAAGCAGCCATCTAAGAACCACAGACTGCAGGAGCTCGAAGCATAATTTTACCAGCTACCTAAAGCTACATTTATGTAAGTTTCAGAGCAACTGTATAAACTTAACTCCTATGTACAACTGCCCTGGAACTATTCAACAAACACAGAAGAAATGTTCATGGCAAACGCACCCCAAAACCGCAAATAAATCAAGAGAATTATACCTAGGAACATGAATGGGAAGAAAAAAAAAAGAAATACGCTACAGCCTGAAAAATTCTTTCAAACAGTGGACATCTGCTACTCATCATCTTGCTCACCTCCTTTAAGGTGAAATACAAACTTGGCACAGTTGGGTTTAAACACCAGTGAGATATTTAATGCAGGAATTGGCCTCCCTACCAAGTACATTCCCACCCCATCTTTTATGAAAAGAAGGAAATACTTCAACATACTCAGACAGCACTGCTGTTCTCTTCTGTGAATCTGGTTCATCCAGCAATTCCACTGCAATAGAAGTAAACAATTTATATTCTGGTGCTGACTGGTAGCAACTTTATGACAGTTATTTCTCAAAAAAGGAGAAATATACAAACCAGAATAGAACATGGCTATATGAGAAAAAAACCTCAAAGCAGATAAAATAATTTCAAACTCATTCTGATGTAGGAATTTACACAAGTGGTCTGTAAAAAGGGGTATATCAGAACTTAAGTATTTAAACAAGGCTAACTAATGGCTTGCAGCCCCCCAAAACCAAAGTCGATACAGAATTACAACTAATTATCTTACATATAGTTAGGTGTACAGGTACATGGGAAAAAGAAAAATGGACACAATTAAGCACTTCATAAGTTTAGTAGTTGCTTTCTAGCTACTTCCTCCTCAGCTCATTTTTTCCAAAGCAAGGTTTTATAGCAGATGCCAATAGAAGTGCACAGGGCCCTTACATACTGGAAACAATTTATATGAGCAATTCCATATTTTTATCATTAGTGAATCATAGAAGTGCTTGCGTAAGCATTTAGTGGAGACTACCTTTACCTGTGCAAGTAAAAAGCAAAGCCAAATTAACTGGAACATTTGGTAATTTTACTTCCCAGCCTTGCACAAAACACAAGAACATAACACAATGAATGTGTAATTACTCCTTCCACCTTCAGGAAATAAACATGGAGTGCATGCAAATGAACTGATTAACTTCAAGCTGTTATTTTCATCAGTGATTCTACTGAGCTGTTTATTATTTGACTCATAAACTTTAATGCGGGACAGTCACAAGATCTCCACAGAGTGGGGAATTATTATTTCACCAGCAAACAACAGCGGAACAAAAGTTGTGTGATTTACACAGCACTAATTTCCATTGGTTTTATTAGAAAGTTGTGCAACTGAGGAATTCAGCAGCGACCAAAATTAGACTGAACCAAATGCATGTGACTCCATGCCTCAGCACTCATTAAGGCCTCACCATTGACTATTTCTCGGCTGTAAAACACCTTTACTCCTGGGGAGCTCCTGCCAGTTTCCAAGTTCTTCACTGCAATAAGGAAGTAGAAAAATGGAGACGTGTGGGCAAAAGCTTACCACTTGTAGAACAAAGCAAGACAAGTGGAGCACACAGTTCTAGTAACTCAAAAAATCCAACAAACACTAGGTTAAGTATTTTTTTGTAACAGTTCCACCACTCTACAAAACAATTTCTACACAGTGGTTCTATATGCTCAACAGTTGAAATTCCAATCTGCTGCACTCATGTAATCTCACATTAGAAAGCACAGACAAATGTAGTCACTGTTAACCTTAGGGCTGCAATTTATTTATCCTGATGCCTGCTTTAGCAGTGGGGAGCCACACACCCACACCACTTCAGCCGGGCGCCGCCTCGACAACCTGCCGGCCGTAGCCCTGCGGGGCCATACTCGCTCTGAGCCAGCTTACTCACAAGAAAACAAAAGAAACGAACAGAAGCCGTCAGCCCGTAAGGCAGCGCCCCACCGCTGATCAGGCTGCTCTAAGGCCAAGGCACCCAACAGCCCCACATTGTCCACACACGACCGATGGGACTTGGAGACCGCCGTCAGCCCCAACCTGCGTGCAGCAGAAGGTCGCGGCCGGGACTGACGTGCTGCAGCACGCCCTGGAACACGCCACACGTCAAGGTGAGCTTAACGCTCTTGCCCAGGGCGGCCTGCAGGGGCTGAAAGCTGAGCGCCATAACCACCTCAACGCGCACCGACGCAAAGCAGATCGGCGGTGAGGCCGAGGCCTACTTATAGCATGCGGGGGCGGGACTTCCACGGCTCACGCATGGAGACGGCGGCGGGCACCGCCCCGCGCACAGCACGCTGGGAGCGGTAGGCCGCCTCGGCTCACCTCGCTGACGCGGGCCGATCGGCGGGTGCGGAGCGTGCATGCGTGCGGCCGCGAGGCAGTAAGGGGCGGGCGGCGGGGCCGGGCCGGGCCGGGAGCGGCGCCATAAGAGGCGTGCCGCCGCCTAGCTTAGCGCTGCTGAGCGCCGTGTAGGGGTAGGTCCGGGGGAGCCGAGGTCTCGTCGCTGCCTTTGGTTGCAGCTATGGGTTCCCGGGCGTCTACGCTACTCCGGGACGAGGAGATTGAGGAGATCAAGAAGGAGACAGGCTGTGAGTATGGAGCGGTGGGCAGCGGTTGTCCTCCGCCGAGAGGCGTCTGGGCCGGTTGTGCTGGGCTCCTCGTACGGCTCGTAGAACGGGGACGGGAAGGCCGCGGGGCTGCTGGCTGTGTGGGCTGGGAAGTGCCCGTGGAGGCCGCTGAGAGCTGCGGGCCGGGGGCCTTTGCTCTCTCGTTGTAGTACTTATTTTTTTCTCCCCAGCGTTAGTTGTTGTGTTGCTACAGCTGGGGCTATTGGGGGTATGGGGGAGCTAGTATAATTTGTGGAAGTCTTGTGTTGAACAACAGTAACGAAAAAAATAAATTTCTGTTTTAGTTAGCAATTAGCAGAGTGTAGCTGTCCCTTAACCCCGAGCCGTGTGCAGGGCTCTCCCCACTGTCTCTGGGCCCTCCAGCCATGGGGCACCCGTTGCTTCCCCACTGCCTCTCCACCCTCAGGGTGAGGGATGATGGTGATGGTGCTTTCCATCTAATCAGAGCAGAGGTAGTATTGCTCTGCTCTTTGCTTTTTATTCTGGTTTTTCTTTGTCAAATCAGTGTCTGTTACAGTATTCTTGGTCTGTTCATGCTTGCTGGTTTTTCCTTGCTCTGTAAAAATACTTTACTTTTTTTTTTTTTCCTACTGAAATGTTGTCTTGTGTATGTCGTAAGCAATAGTTTATTTGTGGCAGGGAAATGAGTGGGTTCAGAAAAGGCTACAGGAGAACTAAGATAGTATTGGCCAATGTATTGGACAGCTGAGTGAGTTAACATACTTTCCGAGATCCTTTCCCTGTGTCAGGTGAACTTTGTACAGGAGGGTTATGATAAACAAGTGGGAATGTAAAAGTCTGCATTTATATTCTTTTTTAACCACAAAAATCCATAGTGTGGAGGTGGCCTTGCTATTTAATATGCTCCTAAAAAAAAAAAAAAAAAAAACTCTAAATCTGGAATGCTCTTCCAGGAAGTTTAAGAAAAGGAAAAATTTACTTTTCTTTCCTTCTTGTACTTGATTTATTATTGATTGGGTTTAATTCCTACAGTTTTATTTTTTGAATGGCTAAATAAATTGAGGTGGTTGTACAGGCATGACCTTCTGAGCAATAAACCCATCAAGCTCTAGTTACCCTCTAAATGCTTTACTTAAATACCCATGTTAATGGTTTGTGATCAGAAGGTTTAAAATCTGTTGCTTGAATTTACTTAATTTCTGTGCTTTTATTACTCAATTTCATCTGTTGTAAAATGCAATTTGGTTAATCAAGTATTACTGATATTCCCTGATTCGTGCTTGCTTGTGAGCTGTCATAAAGTGCCTCTTGAACTTTATCAATTTTTTTTTTCCTCTTCAGTCTGTAAATGGAGACTAGGAATGTATTTTCCTCTGCCTTTTCTACTTCTGTAGATAGATGGAAAATTCCACCAACCTGTAGGACTGTTCCATGCTTCACACAGGTGAACCTATACTTATGCAAGGTACAAGATAGGAGAAATACAGGACTCTGAAGTTACCTGGAACAAAGTTTGCAGGAAGAATACTGAAGTAGTATTACTGAATAGGCTATCTGATCATTTGCTAGAAACTTGATGCTAATGATACTTCAGTTGTTAAAGAGTTTGAGAAAGGGACTTCTTGAAATAAACAATTTGGCAGTATTACATGCTGCTGATGGACTGATGTGGTAAGTTCTCTGAATGATTCTGTTTTGGCTGCCTTGAGGAAAATGCCTGTTCTAGTTCGTCTGAAGTTAAGTACAAAAGAGCAAACCTAACATTCAACTTACTGGAATGAGTTAAGTGATAGAATTTTATATAGCACAAAACCGAATAGCTGATAATACTAATATTAGTAATAAGCTATGTGTTAATGCTTCTTAGTTGAACAGACTAAAACGATATCTTTGTGGGAACTTGAAGCACGGTCTTTCACAAGCTGTACAATGACACTAAAAATCTCTTGAATGAAATTTTAAATTCAGAGGGAAGTTCTGTATTACATACTTCTTTGTGTCGTGATGGAAAACACTAGCTCAGTAAGTTTAGAAACATCTGCAAAGGCAGTGCTCCCAGGAACTGGAGACTACTGTGCCCATTAAGAGTTGTGCTTGCTGGCAGATTATCTTCAATCTGAGAGAAAAGTACTTTGCCATTTCAGTAATCACTATTAAGAAAAACAGATAGGATGTCCAAGATGTTGCTTGTCAGCATTCTTGCAAGCTCTTTGGAAAGCCATTGGAATGTAACAGTGTTCAAAGCCTTTGGTTCGTACTCTTTGTTCCCATGCTTTGAAGCTGTTCATGTAAGGATTAATAATAAGCTAGCATTTATATGAGGATTTAAGAGAGTTATTTAAGTAGTAAGAGGTGATGGATTTTCTTATGGTTATTTATGTGCTTAGGAAATATATTTTCATATATCATAGAATAAAGGTAGTGTCACTGTTAAAGATGCTTTAAAAAAAAATGAACTGTGAATCTGCAATGCTTTTCCAGGTTTGATTTTTTTCTCTGTATATATTGCATTTTTGAGATGTATTTGGAAATAGATAAACATTGTATGTTTATATGATCTTGTGCTAGTGTTTTGATCATGTTTCAGCATATCTCGTTACTAAAAATTTTCTAATTAGCAAAATTAAAATAGAAGATACAGCTACAGTCTTGATTTGACTTAAACTTCTAGAAGGGCCTTAATGAGTATTATAGATAAAGTCATGTTTCAAGAAGCTTTAAGTCTTAGTTTTTGGTTATAAGAAGCGGTTGTAAGTTGCAAACCTTGCTCTGGTTTTCTTTAGGTCAGCAGGGAATTCTTTTGCCTGAGGAAGCTTTGAAAAGTGTCCAATGCTGCAGCTTTCATGAAGGATGAGAGTCAAATAGGAAATTAGGAAAGAGTGCAGTGCTGGATCTGAATCAAGTTCCTTTGTCATACTGCTATGATATGCTGTTTGTCCAGTATGATATCAACAAACGCTGTCTCCTGTCAATATGTGCCAACTCATCATATTCTGTTGTGGAGGTGTTCCAAAAATGGAGTTGGGTACACTGACTTGAAAATGAGAGATGGAGGAGTTGAAAGTTTTTTTTTTTTTTTTTTTTTTTTTTTTTTTTTTTTT